TTTTCAATAAAGAGTGAACCGTTCTGTTTTGAGATTGTTAATCTCCAGATACTGACCTGTCGAATGGGCTTGAATGTACAGTGCTGATCGGTCAACCAATTTTGTTTCTAATTCTTAGTTATATATTCGACCGATCATGACGACACCATTGATTGTGTGTCATCGCATTCGGACGGCGTCGGTCATTGCTTCTACCACCAACAACTGATGTATTTGGTCAAGATTAATAGTAATTAGAGCTGGGACGGGTAACTCGGGTACGCGGGTCGTGTGGGTACTGAGTTGACCCCGGGTACCCTAAGGACTACCTGGACCCGTGGTCAGTCATGTGACATGTTGTTTAATGACAAAAAATATCTGGAACTCTATGGTTAAACTACAAGTCACTAATGTTCGCATTACTTTCAGAATATGCACCTATTCCTTTTGACTTTTCATATAGTTGAATAAAGATATAACTTAAGTCAACTTCAGTGTATGCATGACTAGTGTATCTAAATTTATTTTGACAGGAGTTGTCACGGCCAGATTGTTTACTATATATGTATCTAAATACGTTTTGCCAGGGCTATGGTAAAAAAAAATCCCAATCGGACATGTTGTACCTATCTCTTGAGACCTATGGCAAGCCGTTTTCACATTTATTACGGAATTACAGATATCTTCAATTGTTTTAAAGATATCGATATTTTATTTAAAGATATCAGTAATGTTTTTAAGATATCAAAAAATAATTAAAGATATCTTAAATTCATTTCTGATATCCATAATACAATTACTGATATCTTAAAATGTTACGGTGATATCAACAAATTAGTGTGTGATATCTCTAAATGTATTTAAGATATCATTAAACAATTACCATCCTACTGTACATAAATATATTAGAAATAGATTCAAGATATCTTATATTCAATTCAAGATATCTTGAAATAAGTTATACATATCCACAAATGCATTACAGATATCTTTAATTCAATTATAGATATCTTTAATTCAATTAGAGATATCTTTAATTCAATTCAAGATATCATTAATTCTGACCGTTACTGATATAAAAAATCCAATTAAAGATATCATTCATAATTTTCATGATATCTTTATATCAATTATTGATATCAGTTATCTAATTTAAGTAACATTATTAATGTAACATCTTTAATAATGGCAACAATTGAAGATATCAATAATTAATTATTGATATCTGTATTTAGTTTCAAGATATCAGGAATTGAATTATTGACATCATAACAAAACATGACATTTTTATATCTTTAAATCATATTTTGATATCAATAATCGAATTTAAGATATCAGCAATTCTTTTCAAGATATCAGTAATACGCTTCAACATATCCTTAATTCATTTCGTGATATCTTAATTTTTATTGCAGATATCTACAATTATCTGCATTTACGATATCTTCAATTCCATTAAAGATATCTTCAATTCAATTCAAGATATCTTCAATTCAATTCAGGATATCTTTAAAACAATTGAAGATATCCGTAATTCCGTAATAAATGTGAAAACGGCTTGCCGTAGAGACCTACAGCAGGTACCCGGGTACAGTCGGGTAATAGGGAGGTGGGTCCCCGGGTAGTTAATTTGGACTCGTCCCAGCCCTAATAGTAATACATCGTTGTGATATAGCTGGAGTGTTGGTGACTGTGACATAACACTCACTGCATTCAAGAGACAGTTAGCATACATTTTTACACACACGTGGTAGTCTGCAGATGCACTGTATACATTCAAAAGATGACAAACACATCTCCACTAGTAGGTGCAATATACAATCAAGAGACATTCAACATTGGCGTCCTCTCTAAACATACACCTGGGAAAACGGTGAAGTTGTGAGGTTAAATGGGGTTTAACGGCGCGTTCAAGACTATTGCACGTATATAGTGACGCGCGCACGTGTGTATGTGTACGTGTTTGTGTGTGTGGTTAATTGCTTGTATGCGTGCGCGCGTGCGTGTGTATCCTTGTTTAAACCGTTTAATGCCTAGCACCAGACAGGATAACAACAAGTACCATCTTTTAATGTCTCTTGGTATGACGCGACCAGGGATCGAATCACCAATCTATCCACTAGTCCATGGAGGTGGTCCCTACATAAAAGGCGATATCTGATATGACTGAGCACACTATTAGTCTGTTGCTTTACATGAATCGGAATGGAATAGTTCAGCTGGAGAGAAATTAAGCACTTAATACAGATGCATATGCCTTGAGACAGCACATGACACTATGGAAGAATCATTAATGGATACAAAATTGCATTAAAAAGGGAAATTTCTAAAATGATAATCCGTATGACCAAATCAGAAATAAGATTTGAAAATCTGAAAAGCTATGACGACACCTACTGAAATACAAGAACCCATATACTAATTGCTGAAGCTGGAATATTCAAGTGCTACACCCCTCTACAAGAAATACATACATCGTCTATTTGCGATGAATTTAATTAATTTGTCATCTGATACGATACGTTCGTTTCCATCAATTCGAGATTTGGGCATAAAAACTCGGAAAATACCCCATTTAATATACGAATATTGAGAACTCACCAAAAAGAGCGAAATCGAAATTACCAGAAGCGGGTGTAAAATCGCCAATAATATCGTCATCCAAGGAACAAATTGCACTGACATTGTGAAATTCATTCTAGTGTTCTTACACCATTCTAGGTTTTAACTGGCCAATCTAGATCACAGAGCAGAGCAAGTATCAGAGCATGGAGATCGGAGGTTATATTAAATAATTTGAAAGGGACGCATGACAGATCATTGCAGTTGTTTCTTAATCAAGTGAATGTTACAATGGCTCTGTCTTAAAAATACCACGGCCCACTTGCACAAAGTGATCTTAGCGCTAAGATTATCGTAACTCCAATACTTTAACATAGGCTTACGATAGTCTTAGCGCTAAGATCGCTTTGTGCAAGTGGGCCCAGGACAGTAAAAATAGTTATGTGGGCATAGAATTAAATGAATGAATGAATGAATGAATGAATGAATGAATTTGCAACTATCCCTTAGGAAGGATACCTATTTAGTTCCTCACCTGATTTCCACCAAAAATAACATACATTCGCAGAAGAGGTCCCCAGTACCCCATGCTTGTCCTAACAACCAAATGTGTTGGACATGTCGGTGCCCTGTAAAGATCGACATTTCGCGCTATTACAGGCTACCGATATACAGCTGTTATGTAGGTGACTGCCACGAAAATCATACCCTCACTCACTCCATGGAAGAGAAGATTGCTTGTACAAAGAGAGTGAGACATAAATGGGCTCTTATTGTTTATATCCATGCTCAACTATATTCCAGCTACATGACGGCGACCTGTAAATAGTGAAATCTTGGTCAGGCTCTGACAGTTTTGATTTCGTGTCATCCTTTTCTCCGATGTTGGGGGACGTTGTTCACAATATCAACATCTGTAAAAACATGAAAATAAATGATGTAAACATTCACCCTCTCATGTTCCTCCCTGTTGAAGAGACTAAACAGGAAACATTATGTCCTTGTAAGTTCATTCTCATTATGAGTACTGAGTGGGCAGAAGACGTTCATCCCTGCTGATGCAAGCTTGTCACATAAAGATCGGGTGGACAGGCTCTTGACGTGTCTTCATTATTTGAGTAATTTGTAATTGTGTTGCAAATAATTCAACCAAGTGCATATGTGCTCCCTCCCTCTCTCTCTTTTCGTGCTGCTCGTGGTCAGGTGATCAGGCTCCATTGACTTGGATGATAGCATGTCCAAATTGTGTGGATCAATGCTGGTGATGTCATGGTGACTCCAAACTATTACTATTCCACCATTTGACCTGAGTAGAGGAATAATATTTGGAAACTAGTTGTTTTAATGGTTGAATTTTTCATTTCCGTTTTTTGTTCATCTGATAAAACATTTATAAAGTTGATAAAGTGAAATATAAGTAAGCGTTTACTCTCTGGGATAGGGCATAAATTATTAATTACCCATACTTAACAGTTTTGTTCCTGGAGGATCCAAACAAAACTTATGTGTACAGCTCATATGCATCTGCGTGAACAGGGTGTTTTGGGACAGTAGGCGTTCAACATGCAAATGAAGAATCTATTTCCTAAAGGAAGTGTGATGCAATGCAGTGGACTTGATGCACCTAACAGATGCACTGTACATTAGTGAACTGATTGTACAGAATTAGCTGTCGCTGAGTGCTTATATATAAAAGAAATAATCCTCCAAAGTACTGTAATAGAAATTAAGGCTCTGTAGCTCACCAAAAACATTATGAGTCACATTTCATGATGCTATAAGCTACGTTTAAAATTGGATCGTAATTTCGTGGGCAGTTTTTGAGACTCCACAGCTGGGATCATCCATACAAAGTGTCAGCTCCACAGGCCTTGTAAATGCAAAAGTTAGGAACGGGCAGACAATGCACCACCCATTCACTTGACTTTCAATCAGGTCAGCTAAACATGTCAAACTCTAACTTAGGAAATCCTTTGATTGTTTGTTGGTTGTTTCACGCTGCACGCTGCACGCTGCACTCAGCAATATTCCAGCTATATGACGGCAGTCTGTAAATAATCGAGTCTGGACCTGACAATCCAGTGATTGATATTATGAGCATCGATCCATGCAAAGGGGATACAATTACATGCATCAACTAAGTCAACAAGCCTGACCACCCGATTCCGTTAGTCGCCTCTTACAACAAGCATAGTTGCTTTTTACGGCAAGCATGGGTTGCTGAAGACCTATTCTACCCCGGATCTTCACAGGCCTGGAAATCCTACCACCCTTGTTGTTGTAATTGACATCACGGATTATGCAGATCTGAGAGTTCAATTGTCAGTTGTTGATGTTCCTCAAGTTTGTTTATTAGCCGAGAAGGCTGACACACCAAGGTAAATAGGGAATATTCATGTTATTTCATGTTCATATGTTTTTGTGTTTTATCTACACAGTTCGAGAAAAACACAAAACATGACTTAATAGTTCAGGATTTATCATGTTTATTTTGTTCATTTCATTGTTGTAGCTGCGTCAAGCACATATACACAGAACAGCTTTATTCACATCGATATATTACATATATTTATGTACAACTTATGCTGCAACTATGTAATGATTTCACATGATTCCTGTACAATAATTATTCATGTGTTGTTACAAGAATAAACTGGTTCAGTCTCCCATTACTGATCCTTCAGAAAATAATATATTTAGTTGGTGTGTGCCTTGAAGCAAATCAATAGATGAAACATTCAAGCACTTTATGACTCTACATTTCCAGTGAGTGAGTGAGTTGGGTTTAGCGCAGCTTTTAACAGTATTCCAGTTATATCGCGGCGTGTCAGCTTAATGTGGGAGGAAAGCCCGAAGTGATGCAGGTCTCAGATGTTTACCACTTCAGTGAAACCCGTCTCATCACAGAGAAAATAATCTTGCCTGATGATTCTGTCAGGAATGTCTACATGTACAAACAAAGGACACTACTCAATAGGAACCATTTGTTAATCTGGTAATTTCACTGGGAATGGTACCATCAAGAATATACAGGGGTGTTACTGTATGTGAATGTTTCATAATCACTAAGTTATTTAATGCACACAATGGACAAGTAAATTCATTACTTTGTTGGAATAATAAGCAAGCATTTGTCCTGGCCTCGATCAAATTTCAGATTAATGTGAGATTATGTCAAGGCCATTTTCCAAAGACCAATCCAAGATCTACAGATCATTTACAATGACAGCTGACAGACAGCTCAAACAAGCTTATCACTCTCATTGTAATGCTTGCTTTTGGTATCTTCACAAATACATGTATGTTGTTTGCCAAGTGTGGATTCTATATGTACATTGGTCACAACACTGTCGTTCACCATCATGAGCATTGCTGACTGATGTTACTTAAGCTGATTGGTTTAGCATGTCACATGACTTTACTCCCATTCCACTTCAGCTGACTTCCATTCATCATCTTCAATAAAGGGCTTATCGATACACCTGAAAATAGAGACAAAAGTTCATGAATGCAAATCACTTATATCAGTATCTTTGTCAGAAAAACAGCAATATCTGCTACCATTTTGTTCAAGGAAGCATTTTGATTTCTTTTGCATTAACATCTAAACATGCATACATGTTTTTTTTCAGTTTATTATATTCATTAACATTTTATTTAATTTCACCATGAAGTTCAGTCCAAATTTTTTACATAACTTTCTATTACCATTTGTTATACAGTAGTTATAACAAATGAGTCGTATATCAGTCTTTGAGGTTTATCTGTCTATTGTGAATGATTCTGACCAATGTTAGTCTTGAGCCTCTGCAATGAATTATCATTGGTTCCAGCTTAAATGAGAAAATGTTTACATGATGTGATGCAATATTTAGCAGAAGAAATTGCTAAAAATATTTTGTCCCCAAAAAAATGTGTTGGCCAAGAAATGTGTTGTGAGAAAAAAATAATTGTTCGTCTATTCCTTTCAGTGACAAAAATTGGTGTTTGGGGCTGTAAATAATAATAATAATATTATTATTATTTAACGTCACATCGGCAATATTTCAGCCATACCGTGTAACTAAGAATAAATCCTGTCTGTAACAAGAACCTCAGGCCCCACCAGAATATTAAATGGTGGGTCCGTATCTACTTGAAAGTGCTGGTGCCAGGAGATTGTTACCTGATCATGAAGTCTCCGCAATATATGCACTCCGAAGCCACCAAGTCGTCCAACTCCGCCTGAAGGTACATAGCGAGTATATTCAAGACAAGCAATGATCTGTAGCCTACATATTATCTCATAGCAATCATTATTCTGCATACAATATACAACATACTCTCTGATATCAAACTTCACAAGACACTCCAAGATATAGCTTAGTAATGGCCAGTGAGTGATATTTCTGACTGAAGTAACGTAATTTAGTTTAATTTACAATGGCCATTAATATCTGCCGGTATAACTGATTATCCCATGTACAGGAAAACGAAAGCTAATACCATTAGTTCCACATGTGCATTGAATACTCACTAACAAACATAAATTGGAAAAAAGCCTGTACTTTTGTCTCCCACTTAAAGACCTTGATACAAAATTTCCATTTATATCTGAACACAATATGATACTGTATCAAATAATGAATAGTGCTAAGTATGGATAAACCATTTGGAACAATCTCGTAGCATGATCCGATAAATATGCAAATGAAGACACTTAGGAAGACCTATCAATAAGCTCCATAAATCGATGTCATGCCTACTTTTCTCCATGAAATACTGACAACCATTCTAAATACCACTAGATGGGGCTTTCCCAATGTGTGATTCTGTAGACAAAACGCCTGCAAATCATCTGGCACTTTATGATATGGCAGTTCATTCAAACGTTGTATTCATAAACAGATTCTACGGTTAATTCACCGAGTAAAATTATGTATTAAACACACCCAGCTATAATCTCTCATTATATACTACTCATAAGTTAAAGAGCACCCGATTCATTGATCTTACTTCCATAAGATATAGTAATTGCCTAATATGAAACAATTGGGCGTTCTTTAACTTCTTTTGAGTAATATATATGTTACATTGCACCTTTAGTCCCTAGCAGTGTAGACATATAACTTTGCAACCCACCTTCACCTCCGCATCTCTATTGACCCCGATCTGTGCTGCTGATGTGGACTTCCTGTATGGAACCGCCTCGTCCCTCTCCGCGAGCTTCCTCTGTAACTGGTCAACCTTGGACTTCTTGGACCCCGACAAACTGGGCAGCACATCTGCAATCAGACAGTCCATGTGGAACTTGTGCTGGCATGGGAACAGGTAGAACGCCCTCACCATCAGTGGGTAGCTGCAAGAGGAACACTTGTCTTCGGCTTTCACAAAGGCATATCTGAAATATAGGACAAGATTGATTACAGAGTTGCCTCATCAGCTGTATCCAAGGCAGAATACAGAATACAATTAGACTTGTGTTCACATATATTGGGGCTGTCACAAATAACTGATGAATTGGTGCATCGTAACTCTTCGCTTACCAGTACTCAAATAACGATTCATAGTGTAATTCTGTATCAATTTGAGGAAAAAGGGAAAAAATAAAAGCAAGAAGGCAAAGTATAAGTCTAAAATGTCCAGATAACAACTCAACAGGTGAGCTTCATTTATGACCTGTCATGAAACAATACTAAATCTGATTGGACAGTACCATCAGAATAAACTTGAATCAACCAATTACATGAGTCAACACAAACTGCTTGATTGCACTGACCTCCTATCAGCCAGGCAATAGAACATGGGGAACACAGAAAGAAGTGAATTAAGTGTTGTGACTCCATCCTGTCATGTCTGATACTGTATCAGGTAAGGGTATAATGATAATAACACTAATGCATGTCTGTGTCACATCCCAAATAAACTTGTGAGTGGAAAAAGCTTTTGAGAAAACCTATCAAATGCTAAACATTGACACAATGCTTCAGATTATCAGGGGCTTTCTGCCCTTTCTTGCATTTAACTTCACATGAACATCAGGATTTTGACTTAAACCATCAGTGTCTTTACTTAAACCATCAGGGTCTTTACTTAAACCATCAGTGTTTTGACTCAAACCATTAGTGTTGTGACTCAAACCATCAGGGTCTTTACTTAAACCATCAGTGTTTTGACTCAAACCATCAGTGTTTTGACTCAAACCATCAGTGTCTTTACTTAAACCATCAGTGTTTTGACTCAAACCATCAGTGTCTTTACTTAAACCATCAATGTCTTTACTTAAACCATCAGTGTTTTGACTCAAACCATCAGTGTTTTGACTCGAACCATCAGTGTCTTTACTTAAACCATCAGTGTCTTTCGTTAAACCATCAGTGTTTTGACTCAAACCATCAGTGTTTTGACTCAAACCATCAGTGTCTTTACTTAAACCATCAGTGTCTTTCGTTAAACCATCAGTGTTTTGACTCAAACCATCAGTGTTTTGACTCAAACCATCAGTGTCTTTACTTTAACCATGGACCCGTGAAGATCCGGGGAAGAATAGATCTTCAGCAAGCCATGCTTGCTGTAAAAGGCGACTATGCTTGTCGTAAAAGGCGACTAAAGGGATCGGGTGGTCAGGCTCGCTGACTTGGTTGATGCATGTCATTGATCCCCATTGCGTGGATCGATGCTCATGATATTGATCACTGGATTGTCATTTCCAGACTCGATTATTTACAGACCGCCGTCATATAGCTGGAATATTGCTGAGTGCGGCGTTAAACAACAAACCAACCAACCAACCAAACTTTAACCATCAGTGTTTTGACTAAAAAAATAAGTGTCTTTACTTAAACCATCAGTGTTTTCACGCAAACATCAGTCTTTTCACTCGAACCATCAGTATTCAAGTGAACCATCACTGAGTGAGTACGGTTTTACGCCGCTTTTAGCAATATTCCAGCAATATCACGGCGGGGGACACCAGAAATGGGCTTCACACATTGTACCCATGTCGGGAATCGAACCCGGGTCTTCGGCGTGACGAGCGAAGGCTTTAACCACTAGGCTACCCGACCGCCCCTGAAAACTTGCACTGAGGTCTGATCGTTCCCCAAACCAGCTCCTTGTATGAAGCGACAAAATGGATCAGATGGTCAGACTCATTAGCTTTGTTGATTACGATTACATTGTGCCTCAGCGGTGTGGATCATTACACATATCATCACTCACTGGACTGTTTGGTACAGGCTGCAGTCATACAGCTGGAATATTGCTGAGTGTAGCATTAAACAACAAACAAACAAACAGCCAAACAAATGTGTCCCTACTTGTTTCTGAAGCTCTGGATTTCCTTCCTGATCTCCTCAGCACTCTGGGTAGCCTCCTCCATCTCGTCCTTCAGTGACTTGATGTGGTCGTTGTACTCGTGCAGTGATGTGATGATGGCATCCTGCAATACAACCCCAAAACATCGTTCAATTTTTTTTTTCAGATGACATTATTGGACCCTAATTTTGTGCAAAATACATGCAAACTCATTACGTGAATCCCAAACAAAAATACTTTTTGAAAAAACAGGGTCCTTATTCTGAAAGTAAAATATATTTATGGCTACAATTCATTGTTAGTTATACAAAGTATACAAAGTATACAAGGTATACATGTTATATATGTTATACATGTTATACAATAATATAAGTAATGTAATATTTGAACAACGATCATAGCACTATAACCTGCAATGCCAAAAAGTAATCTCAGCACTATGACCATCATAATTTCCATACTGTAACAGAGACACAGGGTCTAAGCCTGCTTTGTTGGGCTGGGCCATGGAGATGTATCAGCAGGCTGTGTTATCACGACCCCAGAACACAACTGGCTGCACTGAAGTGACACAGTGTTCTCCAGTACTGTCGAAAGTAGGTAAATGGTATTGGAAAAGATACTTTTGTGTCTTTTCACAGAGATAAAATGCAGGTTATGGTGTTTTTTTGGGTCATAATTTGATATTATGGTTTTCCCAACGTGGAAACTAATCCAGAACCGGAGCCATCAGTTTCCCCAGCAAACTGAGCACACCAGCCTTCCCTGATAGTGCAGTGTATTTACATGTACTTGAAACGGATCAATTAAACAAGAGTCATCAGAGGCGACAAATCCCCCAGGCCCCAACAATAGCAAAAGGTACCACTTCAGCCCCTGGTTAATACATGTACCAAGCTTGGATGAAAAATCTTTCACGGTTTTCAAGTTATGCTCTGGAAACAAAATATGGACGGACAGACAGACCAGATGAAGACTATACCCCCCGCCATTATATGCTGGGGGGATAAAAAGTAACAAATTGACAGTTTCCTCACTGAGCACACTTGCCCTCCCTGATAGGATAGCAGTAGTGTTGAGTATTACCTTAAAATGGTCAATGGTGACAAAGTCGGGAAAGAATGGCAAGATGTCCTCAATCTTGAGGAGGTCACATTCGTGTAGGAAGTCCATGGCACGTTTGATGTCCTTCTCTTCCTCCACAACATGTCGAGCTGCAACAATGGTTGAAAACTATGAGTCAGTATCACAGTAAGTGACTTGGGTTTAAACCTTGCTTTCAACAGTACTTCAGGCATATCAGATTAATGTGTGAGGAAAGCCAGGTTGTACATGCATATCACTCTGATGGAATCCATGATAATGTATTATGGTGCTGACAAAACTAAGAATCATAATCAAAGTGAATCTGGGATTGGAAGCCACAATGAAAGGATCCAGGCACATCAAAGGGTTGCAACTCTGCACACAACTTGTACCACCTTAGACCCCTGGGCCACCCTTGGCCCCTAAAGGTCCGTGACTCTCTGTGTTTACATGAGGAGCCAATGCACTGAACACATCTATCCACCAACTAGGAGAAATACTTCAGTATCTGTATACAAGTTTATTCAATAACCATGATGACTGAAAGGTAAAAATACTGGTTTGTAAAAAGGGGTTTTCGCGAGTTGGTGATCAGCAATGTCGATCCAGTTTGACCATCCAATAAACATTGAGTTTTTTTTGTGCATACATTGTGACCATCCAATAAACACTGAGTAGCATAGTGCATCCATTGTGACCATCCAATCACAACAGAGTAGCAAACTACAAAGATGACTTGAGGACACACCAAGCTGTCATAGGGATAGGCCAATCTTAGAGCAAGTTGAGGAACGCTGGCTGTCAGTTAAAAAGTCCACAACTGTCATAGGAATAGGCCAGTCTTAGAGCTAGTTGAGGAATGCTGGCTGTCAGTTAAAAAGTCCACAACCTTATGTGCCAAATTATCCTCACGATCGTTGAGGCATGAACATGGCTCAGCAGGAATAGCCAAATGAGTCACATCAACCTAGGAAACCCGTTAACAGTTGACATCAATAAAACAATAAACATCTCATTAGTTACTTATTCTTGTTTATAATCGCTATAAATCAAAAGATATTGTCAATACTCAACCCTATTGGGATTTGGGAAAAGGCAGCAAATACTTATATTTCACAAAAACATTCATCACATGGTAACATTCACTGACCTATCCGCAGCCAGAGCTTCTTCCTCAGTTCTATGTCATCCTCGTCAGGTTTGTCTGCCTGCGTCTTTGCCAGCTCAACATCAACCTGGATAAAGGGAGGTAACTCCATCATTATCCACATTTCAACAGTGCTTTCAAGTAAATAACATCCATGTCTACACATACAATATCTGGTTATGCAGCACCAAGTGAAACATTCACATTCTATTTGGATATAATTCTGTCAATGATGTCATCAGATTGGTACATGACATCATAACAAGTTGCGATACTATTGTTTGATAACAAAATTGCATTAACATGCTTAGGCTAAAACAAATAACAGAATTGGTTCTCAGCCAATGGCTTTTGAAATTATTGCATGGACGGGCGGTGTTTTTGTTGTTGTTGCTGTTCAAGATAGTATGTAACCAAATTTTGTTTACAATAATTTCGGGGAAATCATGTTGTTCTTAAGTATTGTACCATTTAACTGCTGGGCTTGTGTGTTGAGTAGCGGAATATTTAAAGATTTTTTAGATTAGAAAAGAAATAAAAACGAAACGTGCGGCAGACTTTATGATGATGCGGGCGGTGCCTGAGAACCAAGACTATTATTTTTAAGCCATAATGACATGAAGGAACAATAATAGTGTTGTACCTGGACTGAAATAATCTTTGTAGGTTCTCCTAAATCAAAATTCAAACTACACACTTATTTGTACACAGAATAGACATGAGAAAGCTCCACCTGTGGATGAGAGTTACTTACAGAGAGTGCCATGTCTACTGCCTCCTCGTACAATCCCATGAGTGAGTACACATGCACACACGCCCTCTTGTGGCCATACTCGGAACAAAGGCGCAGTGCATACTTCAGGTCGTAACTCACATCATCAACATCCTGCACAACAGAAACACATTTACTCCAACAAGCTGGTCAACTTCTCCTTGATGTTGCTGCCTATAATCTAAAAACATTACTTTCCAAATCTTTCAGTTCATCAGCTGACTCTCTGTGGAATTATCTCTCGCTGATCCTGAAAAGTGCTTCCTCTCTTTCTGCTTCTTAATCTGGATTGAGAACTTATCTCTTTCAACGCTACTGACTTTCAGACTCTTCATGTATGCACTTACAGTATGTCCTCTGTGATTTGGAATGTCGTGCTATATAACTGGTCTTATTATTATCATTACTAAATACCCTACTTTGCAATAAGGCATGAAACTCTAATTTCTTACCACCCAGGCTGATATCTGGCTATTACACTCCCTGTGATATGTAGGCTTTATTGCACATGCAAAATGCCTCATATCATTGATGGGTACATGATATCAGTGCTTACCTCCCCTTGCAGGTTGAGGTAGGTCATGAGTTGGTCTGACTGCAGCTTGGCGTACAGGGACAGAAGGTAGTTGTGTATGGGGCTGTCCTTGTTGCCCAGCTTGTGCACACAGAACTCCAGGTACCGGATAGCTTCATTACCCTACACAGAAGACACCATCAGGTGGGAATGTAAGCAAGGATCATATCCTACCTAAATATTATCCCAGGGGAAGTTTTACTCTAGAGTATAGTATCCTACCTTAGTGCCACACTGGTATGGGTTCAAATTCACAAGGGAGAATCATCCTGACACTAGAGAATTTCATCCCCGTGATAAAAAATAGGGTAGGATATAGGGCTGAGACAGGTAACTTGAGTACCCAGGTCGGGTGTGTACTGAGTAGGACGCAGGTACCCACAGGACTACCCGGACCTGTGGTTAGTCATGTGATATATTTTTTAATGACAAAAATTATCTAGAACTCTGTGGTTACACTACAAGTCACAATTGTTCGCATTTCTTTCTGACTATGCACCCATTCCTTCTGACTTTTCATATCTTTGAATAAAGATATAACTTGGGTCAACTTCAGTGTATGCATGACAAGATTGTTTGATAAATGTATCTAAATACGTTTTGCCAGTGCTATGGTAAAAAAATGTCCAATCGGACATTTTGTACCTATCTCTTGAGACCTACAGTGGGTACCCGGGTAGGGTCAGGTAATAGGGGGGTGGGTACCCGGGTAGTAAATTCGGACTCGTCCCAGCCCTATAGTAGGATAATATTCACTTTTACAGGAACAGTCCCCAATATTTGGATATTTTGAACTGTGTTTAATGTTCAGAGTCAGTTTATAAATATACAAGATGTCATGAGAACAGGATTCCATTCTTGAATAAAAGCAAATAAACAACATAGACTCAAGACATCGTTGTGTCATCAGTGGGCATTATTCCAATATAACTGTTATGGCACATAGTCAGTTAGGGTTAATCTTTCCTGCTAATCACCAATTAACGATAAGTGAGAAGTGCCAGCAAAGAAAACAAAGTTTGAATTTTGAAATTTTCTTCACTTCTTTATAAAATATAATTTATGATCCAAAATTATTAATAACCTTACACTTTTACTGATTGCTTTGAATGTGTAACTGTCACATCCACAAAAGTCCACACTTCCAGTTCTTGACCACAAACTGACCATGAAGGGAACTCGGCTTGGGTAAATAGGCATTCTTTGCAAGTTTGAATCAAGTTCGTTAAACACAACTTTGATCACCTGCTAACTCAAATTTAGGTAAGACGTCTGCTCTTAACCCATGCCTCATAATGTTATAATTCATAAGCCCTGGCTAGAAGTATTAAAGATCAATTATGTTGGGTTAGGATTCCCTAATTTGATGCAGGGATTATGTACGGAAATCTTACCCAATTTCATGATGCAGTTTTTGAAATTAAGGGGGTCCTGGGATCCTTGAGGGCCTTAAGCCGTTATATGGTAAAGATAGTTGATTCATAAAAATGTCATTATAAATATATGGGTGTTATTGGACCTTGGAGCTATACCAGGCCAATATGACAGTCCTTGGACCTCTACCAAGTCAATATGACAGACCCTGGACCAGTACCAGGCCAATATGACCGACCAGACCTTGGACCTCTACCAGGCAAATATGACTGAACTTGGACCTCTACCAGGCAAATATGACTGAACTTGGGCCTCTACCAGGCAAATATGACTGAACTTGGGCCTCTAACAGGCCATTATGACAGACCTTGGACCTCTACCAGGCAAATATGACTGAACTTGGACCTCTACCAGGCAAATATGACTGAACTTGGGCCTCTAACAGGCCATTATGACAGATCTTGGACATCGACCAAGTCAATATGACAGACCTATAACTATCTATGGCTGTCTTAATACTTGATATCTTTGTGGTAAGAGGTCCAGGTATGACTGCTGAAGTAGACGACTGTAACAAGTACCCACCTGTTCCCTGTATTTGTGATGGTCGTACTGCACCAGAGCGGGGATAAGCTGTTTGGGGTCAAGGTACTTGTGTTGGGTCATCCAGGCATCCACTGTTTCCTTTGGCGTATACTGCATCAGCAGGGGAGAGAACTTGTAGTACAGCTCAACCTCACTCTGGTGAAAAAAGGACAACATTAGAGGGAACTCTCTTGATTACGGAGTCAAGAGAGATGTTGTTCTGTGCCGCAGTCAGTAACATTACATCTCTATCATGACATCCTGTACATTATTGGGTCTTCGTCAGGCACACCAGTGGTTCACAGCATGAGCAGTGATTACGTCATCGGAGCACAGTGATAAATCTGCAATCTTACTACAATTTGAGTGAGGAATTATCAGGAATTGACTAAAGCTCAAACAGGGTTTTACATAGTTTTTAGCATTTATCCAGCCATGTCATTTGGGGGACATCAAGAATGAGTGAGTATGGTCTTACACCGCTTTTAGCAATATTGCAGCAATATCACGGCGGGGAACACCAGACATAGGCTTCACACATTGTACCCACGTCGGGAATCGAACCCGGGTCTTCGGCGTGACGAGCGAACTCTTTAACCACTAGGCTACCTGACCGCTCCACATCATGAATGAGCTTCACTAATTGTATCCAAGTGGGTATTGTAACCAAGGTCTTCAGATTGATAAAGGCTGATGTTGAGACTCATACTTTCAAACTATTACTTTCCTACTGCTTTAATTATTTAAACATATTGTAGTTTTTCATCAGACATTTTTTTAGTATTTTGATTCAGAATCCTAAAACCTTATTCCCCCCACTGAAGGGATATTAGCTATGTACAATTCAAATTGATGCAGGCACTGCCTGAGAACCAAGACAGCTTCATATTTCTTCTTCTAAACAAAACTAACCAGCAATAACATTACCTATTATGCATGGTATTCAACCTACCTGTTTCTTCAACACGTCCAGAGCACCTTTGTAGTTCTCATGCTGGATGTGATGGCTGATGACTCTCTCGTAGTCTGAAACACACATGGCAGACAGTTGAGCTAAGGCAGAGGAATACAGCAGGCATCAAAAGTAATATCTTCAGCTGAGTGAATGAGTCAGTAGGTGAGTGATACAAAGTGACAGAAGTGAAGAATCATGCTGCACAACCTTTGTGCCCAATTTCTGACAGAAACTAGAGACTGTGCTCAACTGGATGTTTACCAGGTGACCTTAGAAAGAGGCCAACTTTAAGGCAACAGAAAACAACTTTAGCTTCATGAGTGAGTGAGTGAGTGAGTGAATGAGTGGATCAGCAATATTCTAGCTACCAGTATATCACTGCAGCCTGAAAATAATCCATTTTTGTTCAGTTGGGTGAGTGAGTGAGTGAGCTAGTGAGTGAGTGAGGTTTCATGCGGAAGACATCTCTATCATACCAGATGTCAGTGTTAGACAGAGTGAGTGAGTGAGTGAGTGAGTGAGTGGGGTTTTAATGCTGTAGACAGCTATATCATACCAGAAGGCAGTGTAAGACTGAGTGAGTGAGTGAGTGAGTGGGGTTTTAATGCTGGAGACAGCTATATCATACCAGAAGGCAGTGTTAGACAGAGTGAGTGAGTGAGTCGGGTTTAAATGCTGTAGACAGCTATATCATACCAGAAGGCAGTGTTAGACAGAGTGAGTGAGTGAGTCGGGTTTTAATGCTGGAGACAGCTATTTCATACCAGAAGGCAGTGTAAGGCAGAGTGAGTGAGCGAGATTTCAACACCTCTTTCAACGGCATGTCAGTGATGCAGGCCTTTGCTGTTTCCCACTTTGGTGAAGCTCAGATAGTGCTGACAAACCAAGGGAAATAAATAATCAGGGCAAATCTTGGAATTGAACCCATGATCATTGGATCCTAGCATGCCCTGGAGAAAAACTCAGTGAATACTGCACCTTAGACAGCTGGGCCGCCTGTGTGCCCTGTAAGGCTGTGGTGATAGAGGCATAGCAAGGGCACAAATGTGAAGCATGATCATGATCAGGGTGAACTTGGGATTCAAACCCATGATCATCAGATCCTGCTGTGCCTGTGGGAAGCAACTTTGCATGACAAATACTACACAGTGTGTGAAATTAAGCATAAAAGACCTTGTCAGAACACAAAGGTTGAAAGCTAAAGATTCATGAGGTCCTTCCATTCTCCACAAATCTTAAGGATCCCATAAACCCTGAATTTCAAACACTGCTGCCCAATAGAGGTATCGCTACCAGTGACATAGTGGTAGCAAGGGAACTGACCTTTCATTAATACAGCAAAGAACACCATGTCCTCCACATCACCATGACTAGCGATCAGGTCGTAGACAACCCCACGGTTGTTGGAGGCTGTCTCCTACAGGAATACAGGCATTATTATTCAACTGTCCTGGGAATTGTGTTCATTTACAGACACCATACTGCTTCCTATCTTATATACATAATTAAACATTTACAATGCCATCTTAGAGAAAGTTTAATTCTATGTACCAACTTTATGGAACCAAAGATTGTATGGTCATTTTACAGAAATAAACACAAAAGTACTCATCACAGTTCAGATGAAAAGTAGTAACCCCCCTCACAAAAAAATCATTAAAAAATAAGACATCCAGGCAAAGTTTGGAAAACATTAGCAGTATATAAATATGGAGAGAGACGGCGACTAGTCTGTTTGTCCGAGACTAGTGACACACCAGAGAGACGAGTTGTTTTCTCCCCAAATCTAGTTACTTTACGTAAGCCACTAGTCTGAAATGGGCTGCAGACTAGTTGGATATGACCAATCGTGTCTACCCCTGTAAAAGTCGAGAGACTCAAGCTACTGGAATGAAACCTAGTTAAACATATTTGAGTCCAGTGATCTCAGCAAGTAACTGTCGCTAAACGGAAAATAATCCTGAAGAACAAGTAGTAGATTCCAAGGGTTTTGTCAGAATTAGCATAAGGCACCGACCTTGACCCTGGTCTGTCCGAGGAACTTTCGGAACTGTTCCTGGATGCGCATGTAGTCCTCGGAGTCGTCCATGCCCTGCTCCTTCAGCTCCCCTAGCTGGTTGAGGTACAGCTCGATCAGCCACGTCACCAGCATCGTCATCTGTGTCTTGTCCTGCAAGACAGGAAGGACATATTCAATGTATCTCTAGCAAAGACAGACTGCAATCTACCTCTGAACATGGCATCTAAAGCATGTGGTCTAATAGTACATCCAAAGACCTCCATCATATCACTTTGTTTTCATTTCAACTTAAACAATGTTGGGTTCAGAATAATATTTGAAAGGTCAACCCATGCTTATAAAATACATTTACTTTTAAGGTGAGTTGATTATCATAAGCCTAAAAACTACATACTTCAAACAAAGGAAACCCCTTATAACTGTAAAACGGCACAAGGGTCTGAAGCTCACCTGTAATTTACTGAATATTTGCTACGTTACATTACAAAAAACACAATAAAGTGGTAACAAGAATATGCAGAAATAAATTCAATTCAAACACTCACCACAACATGAGCTCACTTGAAGTCTCATTTAGGTGAGCAAAAATATGACAATAATGCCAGTTTGGTGATATTCTTTTTTTCCATTAACCATCAACAAACACTTTTCAAAATCAATTTATGAGGAGAAATAATTCATACACTTTGTTATTGGCCATTTAACAACTTTTTAAATGACTAGCAGGGAATTTTTAAAATTGTCAAATCAATATTTATACGTATGTGGCATTGAAACTGTATGAAGACATTATCTCCATCCTTACACTTGGTCGTAAAGCAGATAGTTTTTTCTGTACAAAAGTTTTGAGGGCTTCTTTCTGTGGAAGTCGGATAAACTTGAGAGCGATCTCTTCAAATGAATTCTGTGTTTCTGCATACATGGCAGCACTAGCTTCATATCTGGAACAATACGTAAACAATTACAACACAAGGTATACTTATAATATAAGTTTTATCTTTTCTAAGCCTGATATTGTAGAGACTTGGAAAAAGAACAGTTAAATTTGATTACTTCCAGAGATTTTTGCTTATTGCTTTACTAATATTTCTTTCTAATAGTATCATGCCAAGATGCTGTTGGCAACATCGATTTTAAATAAAAGAGAACTCAACCAATCAAAGAATTAAGTGTTAGGCCAGACTTTCTTTTTCTGGTTCACAGATTTTTGGCCCCAAAATTTGGGTCGTTAGGTTGAAAAAGTAAAAAAGTATAAATTCCAACTTGAAGCTTGTAAGGTAAATTTTCAACAGGTTTAAATTACAGTATTTAAAATAATTGTTTAATATTGAAAGCAACAGTAAATGAGTTTTATTACAAACATGTTAAGTATTTCTGGTTGCGTAATAAAAGAAATGTTTTTAATCTTTTATATTTTTTTCACATTTCAATTTTTTAGATTTAGCAGATCTGTGAACCAAATTTAAAAAAAAGTCTGGCCTCATATGCTTATGATAATTAGTTCTCTTACTTTCTGTTTTCGAAGAGGTACTCGGCCTGCTTGGTTAACACCTTGTCCAACTGAGATGGGTTATCCTGTATAGATATTGCATTAGAGTTAGCAGCATTCACAAGACACAGTTTCGGTGAAGACATCCTCTTCTACCCGGCATAGCATATAACCCTATTGAGATAAATACCCTTGAGTCATCCACATCCCCAGCTAAAAATAGCCATCCAATCAAATTACTGTCTTGTGTAGCAAACTTTTTAATGCTGATATGGAAAAAAGAAATATTATGTCAAACAAAGCAATAAATATGCATGTACAAAAATTTGCCTGTCTGATGTGCCTGTTATTACACATTAAAGGCAAACTTGAAGAAGTGAGTTTTCAGTTGCGACTTTGAAGTACATAACTGTTGCTACGATCTGATGTGAAGAGGGGCCTTGTTCTAGTGGTAGGGTCCTGCCCTTTCGACAGAGAGATTGTCGATGTTTTTGTGGGTGGATACAGAACTTGCAGAAAGTACTAACCACTAGACCTTAACAAGCCATGGTAGCCAATGGGTTCAGTGTCCATAATAGGATGGAGATACTACACACAGGATATTCAAGGTTGTACACTTCGTGAATTGATCTGTACTGTCACTTCACCATTCAACCTGAATAATCTAGTGGTCAGGTTACACGCCCAGAACAAGAAGGTGGACTCTTCCTCTCCACCACCATAGTGTTGCTTTAAGTCCTAAACATTTAAAATGAGCAAAGCCTAATTCTTATTTATATGAACATGTGTAAGAAGTTTGTAATAGTTTTGCCCACTTTATAAATAATATATCTATAGATCCTGGCTCATCATTTGGTTCAAATCATTCAAAACACACTCATTTGCATTTTAACTCAAATTAAATGCAATCAATATGTGGAACATTGTCGGTCTTTAATTTCTGAATGCTAGATGAGGTTTCTTATACGCAGACACTAAAATACCAGTGTTTTAAAAGTCTACAAATAACCCTGGTTTTTGGTTTTAATGTCAATTATTGCACGTTTTCGATCCATACAAAAAGGCATTTGGTAGGCTAGTGGTAGCAATTTTGAAGTAAAAATATTTGCTAAAACACAACATATTCCAAAACAATCAATATAAATTATTCTGATACATGACAGTTTGCTTTAAGTGATTATACCTTGCAGTATTCCCTGGCCAGTTCGAACTGCCCCTTGTCCAGGTACATCTGCCATACATCCCGTGCCTCCTTCACGATCTTGTACTTGAACACACTGGTGGTTGTATAGGTCCAGACCTGACCACGGATTGGATCCTTGCAGCAGCCCAGCAGCCTACCAAACCTCTGTCAGGCAGAAAACATGTTGGTTGTGTGTTTGTTCAACACTCATACTCAGCAATATTCCATCTATATGACCGCAGCCTCTGAATTATCAAGTCTGGACCAGACAATCAAGTGATTCATATTTTGAACAATGATCCACGCTGTCAGGGTACGAAGACATGCATCAGTCAATCCTTTCCCTGAGCTGATGTCTCCATTTGAGATCAAGAAACCCACATTTTTCTACATTTCCTCAGAAAAAAACCCAGCAGGTAAGGCCCCCCAAAAATAATAGTTTGGGTTCTCAGGCACTGCCCACATCTTCATCAAGTTCATTGCACGTTTTATTTTTGTTTCCATTTTCAATTTTTTGTGTGCATTGCATTCAAGTATTAGGATTTTTATATTTTTTTGAAAATGGAAATAAAAACAAAATGTGCAGCGGACTTTATGATGATGCAGGTGGTGCCTGAGAACCAAGACTATTATTTTTTTTAGTCTTATATAAACAACAACTTACTCAGAACAAGGAATTACTGATTATCTGTCCCTTGTGAACTAATGTCGAAAGTTCCTTGCCAAGGCTTGGAACACAGTAACACCTCTCCTCATTCATTACTTACCTCCACATATACATCATCATAAATAAGTTGCTCGTTCAGCACACACACAGCTTTTAATCTGCAAAGGATGAGATGGTCACAGTCAGTAAGGGGTCCTGTCCAAATACTGAAGCAGGTAACACAGCTAGGTATGTTTAGGTTTGGCAGTGGTAACACAGATGGGATGGGTGTTTGTAAACCTAGCTTGTATTGTTATTGAGTGAGTGTTGTTTAATGCCCCAGCCTTATTGTCATAGCCTGAAAATAATAATGTCTGGACTATGCAAGTTGGTTGCTGTAATCATGATCATCCACGTAATTCGGGAATGATGACATGGTGTCAGCTAAATCACCGATCCTGACTACCCAATCAGTCAGCTCTTTGGACAAATACCGAATTCTGGGACCCATTGGGGCCTATTCTTCATGGAATCCCCATGGAATAGTTTCAACAATCTACGCTGACTTGATGTTTGAAATGCTTGTCATGACAGTTCATGTTATAAGGAGCCTGTTCACATCAGTTTGAAGTTTATCATTATCGAATAGTGCCTGTTATTACACATTAAAGCCAAACTTGAAAAAGTGAGACTTCAGTTCAGACTGTGAAGAAGTAATCCATATGCCACCTATATGTCTCATCACTGTTCACATCAGTTGGAAGTTTATCATTATAGAATAGTGACGTTGGAAAATCTTTGACTTCACAAGCAGTGAAAATGTTTCAATGTTTGGAAAAGTAAAACATAATAAATAAAACAAAACAGTACTAACAGTGTAATGATTTGAGATTCAGTTGCATGCAGGGTCATTCCAGCTTAATTAAATGAGTTGTTTCTCCATAGCTTATTTCCTTTTTAATTGCTGACTTTGGGGCATTCCAGGACCTTTCAGATCGTGTTGAGATGAAAATGTAATTAAGTTCATCCAAGCATGGAAATTCCAAAATACTTTAATTTAGGTTCCATAAACTATTGCTTTATTTGTTAAATGCCTCCCTCAGTAATGTTCCAACTAAATGATGGAGGCCTGTAAATAATGGACCCTGGACCAGACAATCCAGTGGTTGATATTGTGAACACTGGTGCATGCTGCTGGGGTATGATGACACACCATCAACCAGTTCACTGAGCCTGACCACCCAATCCATTGGCTCACTTCCTACGACCAGCAGGGGACTAGATTCGAAGCCGGAATCCCCACAAGGGAAACTATTGCAGGAGAACCTTATACTTATACCTGTCTGGGTAGAGGATGAGTACATGGAATTCCGTGAGCAGCATTGATATGGGGGGTGCTGGCTTCTCGTCCACCTCCTTCGGGTAGCTACGTCAGGTTAAGGATATCCTCTTAGGACACAAAAGATCAATCACAAACATAATTCCTTGTATTTTTTTAACAACAAAACTGTTCACAGTATCTGTCTATTAACTGGCATAAGAAACAAAAATGTGTGATAGATTACGTTTTTGGTGTATTTCAGCAACAAGGCAACAGATGTAGGGTTTTCTTTGTCAGTACGGACTTGACGTCAACTAAATAACGTGAGGCAGGATGTTTTGTAGTGAGGCGAGCGTGGATTAAAATCTAATAATCACATTGTTAGTTTTCTTCTTTAATAATGGTTGACATATATATTTGGGGGTGAACCACAGTCAGAAATAAATATAAAAATCATTTTGGAAAATCAATTATTTTGTTACATTATAGAGTAAGAAAATAAAGAAATTTCCCCCTAGGATTGTTCCTTTCAATGACAAGGCAAAGATTTACTTCCCTTCACATATTAACTGGCTGAAGAGAAAGGAAGACTGCTCTCAAAACTTTGGTCAGCCTATCCTTAAACAAAATTAAACATTAATAATGGAGAAAAAGAATGCTACTAATATCTAGTATTGTCTCAAAATAATGACAGTCGTCAGCTTAGAGTGTGGCAATAGCAGGAAACAATAATTGGAAACATGTACGGGTCAGTCACAGTGAAAGGATACGGCATGAGTTTAGCATTGGACAAAACTGAGTTAGGTCCTGCTGCTCCCGTGACATCGATATCTCCATAGTAAATACCAGGTCCTGAAACAAGGGAGGTGGGGAACATGTTAAAGTGCACTTTCACCACCCAAGTGTTACATGGGGTTCTTCTCACCATACTCACTCTGGTTTATGAATGAAAATCACCATGCCAAGGGGGACAAAATACATTTTTGCCTTTTTCAATCTATAATTAGCAAATTAGTGAACTTTTTCAAGTAGATTGTCTGCATTAACACCTTTCTTAGATTAAAGATGTTATGCAATGTTAGATACAGACACTTACCCACAGATCTGGAAGGGCTGGTTTCTCACAAAATATACATGTGTTACACAACCACCACTCTGCCTTGAGCTCATCCTAAATGTCCAGGGTAGAATATCTCCTTTCTATTTTGACAAATACCTTGGAGTTGTACACCATTGAAAGCTTTGTTTCTGAAGCAACATCCCAATTCCCATCTCCCATCTCTCTCATCACACGCTTTTAACAATATTCCAGTTATATAGCGGCGTGTCAGCCTTATGTGGGGGGAAGGCCCGAAGTGATGCAGGTCTCAGACGTTTACCACTTTGGTGAAACCTACGTGCATGGGTATGGTGCTGACAAACCTAGAAACAAAATCGAGGCGAACCAGGATTCGAACCCACAATCTTAGATTTCTGGCGTGCCTAAGGGACGCAACTCTGCACAGCAAATAGCGGCGCCTTAGACGACTGCGCCTCCCATGCACCACTTATCACTAACCTGGTACAGGATCGAATCTGAATGGATGGTTATTTTGTGCCTTTTGTATATGGCTGAAAACAAAGCTATGTATTTATCAAAAAAGCATGGAGATATAATACACTGGATAATGAAGTATGAATTGTTTTGTTTGTTTGTTGTTTAACACCACTCTCAGCAATACTCCAGCTATATGACTGTGGTTTGTGAATATTCAAGTCTCGACCAGACAATCCATTGAGCATCACGAGCATTGATCCACACAGTTTGGATACAATGACATGCATTAACCAAGTTAGCAAGCCTGAACATCATATCCTGTTAGTCGCCTCTAATGACAAGCATTGGTTACTGAAAAACGATAACCCGGATCTTCATAGGGAAGTATGGATTGAGCTGTGGACTAGCTGAATTATACACCTTGTGTCTATCCCTGTAATGTCCTTTGTACATATGCAGATGTTACAAACAGTCATTGTCCAGAATGCATTGTTTTTAGACTATGGGGTCGGGACCAGAGACCATCTACCAATCCATGGTCTCTGGTCTGGACAAACAAGATTTCACTATATTTCAAAGTGCAAACAAATTAATTTATCAACACAGTTTTTAACTGCTGACTTGTGTCTACTCTTAAATTTCAAACACTAAAAATATCTTATAACAACGAAAGAGCACCTGTCATCCAGGCAAACTTTGTAGCTGCCTGGCGGAACTTGGGGAAGAACAGATGTAGCTCACTGTAACCAAAGTCCCCTGGTAACTCAAGAAACTGCACTGTTTCTGGAAATAAAGTTAGATGCATAAAGCATTACTGGGATAAGTTATAAAGTTACTGGTATCAAACTGACATGTTGTAAATTATGCCATATCCTTAAGTAATATACTACTCAACTTTTGATAGGGAACATCAGATATGTCATTCTATTTAAAAATACACTTGACATATTATGAGAATCAGTTTTGTGTGTCATGGAAATATAAAAATATAACCTTTCAAAAGGAGAGTAGTACATATGAGAAAGTATTTGCTTGTTTGTTGTTTAACGACGCAATAAGCAATATTCCAGCTATATAAGGGCGGTCTGTAAATAATCAAGTCTGGCACGAGCATTGATCCACGCAACTGAGATACAATGACTTGCATCAACCAAGTCAGCGAGCCTGGCCACCCGATCCTGATAGTTGCCTGTTACGAGTAGCATAGTCACCGCTTACGACAAGCATAGTCACCTCTTACGACAAGCATAGTCGCCTCTTACGACAATTAGTCACCTCTTACGACAAGCATAGTCACCTCTTACGACAAGCATGGACTGCTGAAGACCTATTCTAACCCGGATCTTCACTGGTATATAAGACAGTAAGTGATACAAAAATGATCCAAACATTATACAAGTTGATGTGTTATCATGAGACAGTGAGTAAGTGAATGTTGTTTTATGCAATGTTCAAGCTATATCCCAGGAGCCTGTAGACAAGTCTGTGTCTAGCAAACCAGTGGTTGATAGCATGGGGAACAATCCATGCTGTCAGAGCACAATGACACACAAACAGCCACATCACACATTGCAAACAACTGAATGCTTCATAGGGACTGACCACTTGATATTGGGGAGGTGAAGAGAGGGGAAGAGAGGGGAGGGGATTCCAGATTTCTTTCCGGAACAAAATAATTCTTCATCAGTTTTTGCAAAAAATTTATTTGTTCACAGGATATGCTGGATGTCCTTGAAAAAAAAAGAAGAACATAAAATAATTTCCTATACACCTTTTTTCACAAAATAGAATTACGTGATTTGAAGCAGTAACCAAAAAAAAAACATTAGAAACTAACAGTTTCAGTCCACTAGTCTTTACAGTAATAGCATATAGCAAAACACCTAAAAATGGCAAATTTCTACTGGTCCTTATGATACCTTTACTATTGGGCAGTTTGGCAAGGACTACAGGACTAGTGCCAATTTCTAACGCTGCAAAAGACATATCCTGTCCCTTGTAAAATACCAGGCCCATTACCAGAACATATTATTGTGGGCCCTTTCATGCACGGGGTCCTGGGGGCATGTAACATTCTGCCCCCTAGGAATGATGAGACAAACTATGTGTATCTGGTGTGCCTTGTATCTGCTGTGCCTTACCCACGCCTGTCTCATACTGTTGGAAGAGGGACATGAACATCGGAGGCTCAGCAGATGTGGACACCGTCCCGATAAACTGGTACAGACGACTGAAAATGATAGGAAAGACGACTTAAACAAAGCCCCAAAACTACTGTTATACACAGGAAAGAAAATAATGATCTGTCTGTAAACTTTGATGAATATGCATGACTGGCATAGTCCCATTATATTTCAGGGGTGAAGGGTATGGATTAAAAACATAAGGTATTTGCTAAGTTTTATTGTACATCGTTATACATAAGAGTACCGGTACCACATTAACCAACATTCTTGTGATAATATCTGATTTGATGTTCTATGCACATATTGTGACATCTGTAAACTGTACTGTCCATGTGCACAGTTGAGGTACGAGTGTAGGAGTGAGCGCCACATGCAGGCACAGACATGTAGAACATGCCAACAAGTTTGAACTTTATTCTTGCACCATCAAACATTTCATTTTGCCAGTAGTCTGTCAGAGCCTTGAGAAAATCTGGCTGATCTCTCCAAGAACCTACGCAAACCTTCTGTGATCTGGTATTACCGGTAACTCATTGGCGCCCCGAGTAACTGCGATTACTTTGAATGAGTAAGTTGTTATCCACATAAAGTTTCATGTCTCCATGGTAACAGTGATTCACAAATGTGGATTTTTTTGGTTTTAAACAGGGTTCAGAATAGACATCATACTATTTAATACTATTATCATCAACATCAGACCATATAATGGAGCTAAAAAATATCAAGTTGTGAAAAGAGATTATATTTATATTTGTTCAGACGGAGTTGTAATGGGCTTGTGAATGGGGAAATATGCTTTTAGCATAGTCATAAACATCATGGTTAGTTCCCAGCCACATCATATCACTTTGTGTTCAAGTGGTGATGCTGATAGCTGCAATACAAGGTTGTCATGAGCTAGTGAACACGCTCACCCTGGAGTAGTGGCAAGAATGTAGTAGCGGTATTCCGTCATCGTAGTCGACGGAAGACGGTCAAACTGAAGACTTGTCACTGACTGAGCCTTCTCTCTGCCCAAGTTGAACATCTGACAAAAAGAAACATACAGCCTCAAACAAGGAGTGAACACAAGAAAAATGTTACTGCATTCGACGAAATAATGCCCAGGACACTCTCAAAATTAGAAATAGGGGGCTCTTATTAGTATATTATTTTGGAGGGGCGGTCGGGTAGCCTAGTGGTTAAAGGGTTCGCTCGTCACGCTGAAGACCCGGGTTCGATTTCCGACATGGGTACAATGTGTGAAGCCCATTTCAGGTGTCTCCCGCCGTGATGTTGCTGGAATATTGCTAAAAGCGGCGTAAAACCATACTCAGTCACTCACTCACTATACTATTTTGGTGAAAAAAAAACAGAGTAGAAAGATAAATTTTGTGGTTTATGCTGACAGCCTGGAATTTTCATGTACGACAGATATATTTTTCCAGAATTTAATTGCCCATAATTAAGGGTGCATATAACACACAAGTGCATATTGTATGCAAATAAATAAGTCTTGTGTACATTGACCAATCGGAAGGGGTGCTAATTGGGATTGTTCACTAGCCAATATATTAGCAAATATCACCGTTGGCGCTTATTAGAGCAGGGCGCTTATTACCTAGAACACTGAAATAAGAAAAAAAAAGAAATACACTTGCTTGCTTGACAGTAATGAAAGAATGATGTTACCAAGGATATATTAGATCACGGGGGAGGTACTTGGAACAGCATCATGACATTGGTCCATGATGACATAACTCAAAAAGTATATTTGGCGCCTTTGATCTTTTAGTGAAGCATCTTAGAATGTATATTATGGGGCATGTGGCTATTTTTTATGACCCAATTCCAAGGGGAATACAACAAGGGTTGACCAACTTTCAATTCAAGATATTTTGCAGGTAAAACAGTCAACAACAAACCAGCGATAAAAATCTGTCACTGAACATTTTATCAATCTTTTGCCTGCATACACAACATTTGTACATTAATTGGAAGAAATAACCCTAATAAAACTCAAAATCCATTCACATGCAAATTGCAGTATAGGTGTATACAGTTTATTGTGGGCTCTGCCTTTCTCCAAGGCATAACAGTTGAGTAGTCTTTTCCAGGGTGAAGTTGGGAGGTGGATGGCCAATATCCCATACCTTACAGTGGGGTTGTCCTAATATTTACTAATCGCTTACTGGATGGAAGATCATTGGAACCTTATGGACCACAATCACCACATCACTACTGCTTTATGAAATAAACACTTTCAACATTTTGTGGCAGGAACAGAAGGCAGCAGATAAGCAAATGACTTGAGACCTCATCAGAATTTCCTTTATTAAAGAAAAAATGTCAAAACGTGGCCGCAGCAACTAAACAGTTACAACAAGTTCACATATACTATCATTCAACACAAATTTTATACTCCAGAACAAAATTAGTGAATTTCATCCAGACAGAAAATAAACACACTGTAATATGACAATCATGATAAACACAGTTCAGAAAAAAAAGTTGCCTTATGTTGAGATGGATAAAGGCAACACACACATAAATGACTGATATAGCAAGAACGACAAAACCAGACAATCTTACCTCGTGAGGTTTCGTTGCAAGCTTTAACTGAACAAAGTATTAAGATAAGGGGAGATAAGTAAAAACAAGAGTCATCAGAAGATGACAAATCCCCCCGGCCCCGAAAAAATTCGAAAGAACAAATCATCTGTCTATCTAATCTGTCTGTATACAAGAGTAGTTATTGAGCTATCAAAAAAATACCATGGAATTGAAAGAATATTCCATCACATCAAAGCAAGGTACCCCAAGGGCTTCATAAACTGTATCCATGTTGGGGACCACACAAACCCTGTCAATTAGGCTAGCCCACAATCACACGCCTGTCAAAGTTCAGAGTCTGGAAATAAGTGAGTGAGTTTATGCCGCTTTGAACAATATTGCCATGACATCCTGGCATGTCATCTTCATGTGGAAGAAATATCGAACATGATGCATGCAGGTCCAACCGTTTGCCATGTGGAACTCACTCAGTATGATAGAGTTGGATAATGATACAGAGGTTTCCCCTTGGCCAACTTATTCCAATCTTCTCCAGCTGAATCATTTGATACATGATATAGAATGGGGACATGACTACCAAAGTAGAAACAATGATTAGATTAAATTATCCATCCTTTGTGGTTTCCTGAAATTCCCATTTCTTAGTAATCATGGTAATCCCTTATCACATTCATTAACCCGAAAAGTCCAAAGAAGACATTTGATAGGGAGAAACACAGTATTTTCTGTGATATCTGTTTACATAATATCTACCTCTAAACACAGGACCATTTAACTACTGGTAGTCATCATAACAAACAAATTTGCAGATGGGGCCTCTACATCAAAGCATTGCTTAAAGGAAAGTAACGAATGATAATAGATTACACCAAACACAAAAAACAAACCACAACTCATTTCCCACCAACTTCTAACCCTCAGAGTTAATAACACAAGTCAATCCCATATTAGGAAAAGATTCCCCGAAACTACCCTAAACAAGAGTCATCAGAAAGATGACATATCCCCCCGGCAGCTGTCTGTAAAGTAACCACTAGTAAATGTGCAATTCTCTATGTAATGAGTCAACAGTTGAATGTTCTTTAAGAAGCATACATTGTTTACCCACTGAATGGTTTTCGAATGGAGTCTAGGTCCAACTTCATTCCATAAAAATTGTAAAAAATATAAATTCGTAAAGAATAAATATCAAAAGGCACCACTTCAGTATGTGCCTGATAGCTTTGCCAAGTTTCGATCAAATACACTGAATGGTTTTGGAATTCTGCCCCGGAAACGAACCCCATCCCCAATTGAGTCTATGGTCAACTTCATTCCATAAAAATTTAAAAAAATAAAAATTAGAAAAATCCCAAAATATCAAAAGGCACCACTTCAGTATGTGCCTGATAGCTTTGCTAAGTTTCGATCAAATACACTGAATGGTTTTGGAATTCTGCCCCGGAAAAGGAAATGATTAAGGACGGACCCGGACAGACAGACTGGCTGATCGCTATATCCCCCCGCATTATATGCCGGGGGGATAAAAATGACTGCAGTGACTGTTGCAGCTCTAATACCTTGACATAGCAGTAATAGGACTAAAATCTAGGACCGTTTAACTTGTTTGTTGCCTTATGCCAGAATCAGCAATATTCCAGCTATAATACGACATACAACAACATGTCTACATCACAATGACATGTCTGGGCCACACATACCAGTGGTTGAGTTTATGAGCAATGTACCACACATTTTGATTATGATGAACACAATCAACCAAATCACTGAGTCGGACCATCCGATTCAATTAAAGTCTTGTATGACAAGCTTTCAAGTGCAAGGGACCAATTCTCATCATGGTCCATACAAGGCAGGCCCGCAACAACACTGTTGACAAATGGCAATCCTGAGATGGCAACATGTGGGTAATATGACACAAACATGATGTATATACCTTATATACGACACTTACTTGTCTCAGGTACTGGTCCAGGCTGCCCTGGAAGAAACGACTGTCCTCATTGGCTGTGAGCTCTGTCTCAAATATTATGCCTGGAAACAAGTAATAACAAGAGTGCTAGAAATTAAGAAGGTCATTATGGTCATGGGTACATTGAGACCTGAAAAAACACTTTTACATTAGGGTTATGACATGGCCCCCTTGTCTTTCATGCAATATTCCGAACACTGCAACAGATATAACAAGAAGACAAAGTTATTGATACTTGTCATAAATCATCAACTAGTTCTATATAAATATTTCTTAAAATCCCAAACTATCAAAAGGTACCAGTTCACCACTAGACCTATCTTTGTGCCAAGTTTAGTGAAGAAATATTGTATGATTTTCACGATCTGCTCTGGAAACACCTTGCTCGGACGGATGAATGGACTGACGGTGTCCATTTTAAAACCCGACAAAACGCATTGCAGGGGATAATATAATAGAGATAGGTCTTTCAAATTTGTTTTATATAAGGAAAGGCGAACCATGCTTGTAAAGATGAAAAGACAAGAAAAACTTTGATGACTATCTGTCCCATATTGATCGACTTTTGACGTTTTGAAGGTGGAGATATTACATTACTTGTACTGAAAGGCTTGTACTTTGGTAGGATGAATAAGAATTTTTCTCACTTTTTTAATTTGCCACCACGAGAGAAACTTTTGTTTTGTTGATCAGCAGATCAGTATATGAATCAAAACAAGAAAATAAAACCTTTACCTTTGCTTGTGCCTAGCAGTATAGCGCTGGTGGTTGCCTCGTTAGCATTCTGCCAGTTCCACCCCACAGAGTCGATCAGGTGACCCTGGAGCACATACAGTAGTGATAGTTTGACATGCACCGAGGTATGGTGGGAAGTGGTTACAGTTTCAAGATTGATCATCGGTTTGAAAAATAAACGAAAATAGAAAAATCAACTGTATGAGCATTCTTCCTCAGTATCCTAAATTCTGGGTCTCAATAGGAGGTGCTTACACAGATTCCCTACAGATTGGTCTGGCTGGAGGTTGGACATGGGGTACTTCTTGGAGCAGGGCACTTAATATGGCGAATATGGTATGCATGTCATCTGTTGTGCATCATTTTATGTAAAGACGGTGGATGGACAATACATGATTCTGATTGTACAATGAAGAAGTGTAGTAAAATGTCTTAAGCTCCAGTAGGATCAGCTTGAACTAGTATTTATACTAAGACCTCTCCTTACTGCAAATCATGCTAAACTACAAGTTCAGGGTAGGAAACTCCAAAGATTTTACCATAGACTGTAAAGATCATTTACTATATTACTACACTACTTAATACGATTTCGCCGGAATTATTGTAAACATTATTATAATTATTGAATGAAATTTTGAACACAATTAATAAAATACATTGCAAACATGAGTCCAGATAAACAAAGAAAACATATTTTATAACCAGATATTATATTAATAGGATTAAATTCTGTACTTCAGTTCGGATTTTGTTAACTGGTATTTCCGGTGTTACGTAATTGCGGTCATCAGCTGATAATGTTTTCTGAGATGGGGGAAAACATCATGTCATTGGAAAACTTAAGTTTATTAAAAATGTTAGTAAATTTTGGGAGCCAGTAAATTTTGGGAGCCAGTAAATTTTGGGAGCCACGCTTTACCGTGCGCTATAACTGAGTTAGCACTATATTGAAGAGCGCAATAGCGAGGGAACACTGTAGTACAATCAGAAATATGTATTAGTCTAAAAACTATTTTACTTGACAGGGGCTTTGGACAAGTGTATAAAGTCACAGACTGACTTAATCTGTCTTGGACAATGAAAACAAGTTTACTAATAGTAAATGATTAACAATTCTACTTCCATATTGACTTATGGTGGTGCAGTACCTTGAGTTTGGCAATAGGTTTTGGTTTCTTGGAGTTCCTGGAGAGGTAGTAGTTGTCCCCACACTTCATGCTGATGATCAGGTGCTTCCCCGTGGGGTCCAGGAAGATCTTGTGAACCTTGTCATCCACGGCACGTGGGATCTCTACCTCTGTCAACAGATCACTACATATCATGGCATCACAGTTACTTCCCATAGTTCCTTGAATCATCTTATGTAGACATAACGGTGGCCGGACTTGGAGATACATATGCATATTAAACACTCCTGTAGATTTCTTGTCCTTATTATACCACATTGGTCATATCTGAGCCAAATAGTGACTGGTACCATTCATATTCTTAGAACTATGACCTTGCCCACTTTGTGAAACAGGGTCAAGATTCTTACAATCCCTTTCCAATGCTTACAGTAATCAAGGATTTTTTAAACTGCGACAAATAATTATGAGATATTAAAAGGTTAGTGAAAATTTCAAGGGACATTTTAAGGAAAAAAACACACCTTTTTAACCTCAAGTGTATCTCTTTCATTTTGATTGCATTCTGGCAGGTGTCAAATTACTCATAGATACTGATGATGCAAAATGCATCTCAAAGTAAAAGAAAATAACTTCATTCATTTTAAAGAAAAGAGAAAGCCTTGGGTCTTTGAGGTTTCGTATTTTGGTTGGTATTAAAATCTAGAAACCCCTTCAATCAATCTTTTTATCATTAATGTTACAGTTAAAACAAGAATTTTATGTTTGACTCTGAACACTCTAAAGCGTATCTTAGTATTACCCCCAATGCCAGACCCTGTATGTACAAGAAGTGTCCTACCGTCAGGGTTGTCAGGGTGCTCCAGGTCCAGCCGCAGCATGATGTTGGAGCTCATCACCATCACCAGGAAGTTGTTGCACACGTCCAGATGGGTGATGATGTCTGGCGGCCTGCACACACACAGTGTCATCACGATTAGAGTCTATGAGCATGAGTGAGTGGGTGAGTTAGAATTTTTCATCGCATCAGCAATATCTCAGCCATATAGCAATGGAAACTAGGTCTTACAATATCTGCTGACAAAGGACAGCAAAAGAGTAATGCATATCAGTCTTAGAATAAAACAAACCATATAAGCATGATTAGCCGGAAACGCATCTTTTTTAGTTGATTTTACATCTAACATGTGGGCTGTGATAAGAGACTGACCATTTACCCATACTATTTGGGGTTGGGGTTACCATGTTTACAAGTTCTTTATGTTTGCTGGAGTCAGTTTATATAATCATTTATGTCATGGCTGAATAATTACAACATGTACAATGATATGAGAAATTTATCCTGTGTCATGGTAGCAATATTATGAATATAGTCTGGTATGTACAGCAATACAGGCATCAGCACTTCAACAAACTACTGCAGGACAAACCTTATCAACACCTTATGGTAAAATACAAGTTACACAGAATTGTGACATGATAATTGGCCTTGAAAAAAGCAGTATGCAAGGGAGAGATTACGAAACATCTCCAATGTGGAAAGGGGTGGTGGGGAAGCCTAGTGGTTAAAGCGTTCGCTCATCACGCCGAAGGCCCAGGTTTGATTCCCAACATGGGCAAAATGTGTGAAGCCCATTTCTGGTGTCCCCGACATGATATTGCTGGAAGTTTTCTAAAAGTGGCCCCAAACCATACTCACTCCCAACGTGGAAAAGGTACTAAAGTACGGACCTCATGCCTCTTAGGCAAAATTAGAGTCCACTGTATTCATGGTATTTGGTAGAGAGTCAATATTCTGCACATATCTTGAAAAAACATCCATTACCATGACCATGATACCATGAAAGACTTACTTAAAGTTGACCTTTTTCTTGTTGAAAATTGGTGATTCTGTTTCTAGACGGGCATCAATGAAACCAACACCGATCTGACAAAACAAAATGACAAGCAAATTAGAAACAGTAATCAATCCAGCTGTACAATAAATACCATAGGCATATTCTCATATAAATCATTTATCATTTCTATTGTCTTCAATAAATTTCAAATATGCATGTATTTCAATTTGACTATAAAGAAGTGTTCTTGTTTTCCTCTTATAATTTAAATGGTCTTCACTATATATGCAGGGCCTGAAACTCTGAATTATGCTATCCAAACATCATCTTATGACTGACAGCACTTATGACCAAGTGCCATCCAAGCTATACAAGAATGTGTAGTGGCCATATGGATTTTTTATTCCAGTTCTCATGTACAAAGCATTGACCTCATCTGAGGTTGTATGCTCTGCCCATGACCAAAGAGATTGATCCACCTCTATAAGCTGATATTGTAAAGATTGTAGGAAGACATCCCTACTCTACATACTCTCCTGATCAGCAGAGGGCACATCAAAGGCTACAATATTTTTTTACTGCATAAACAATGATAAAGCTTCTTTTGCTCATACATATGTTGCTACATACATGATACACAGGATGACATGAGTGGGATGGCTGCTTGACTGTTTGCATTATTTAAGACATGTTGATTAATTGCATGGGAGAAGTAATAAAACAGAGAATATTTATTTGCCACTTAATAAAACAGACCGGTTCTTGTAGACTCTGTGCAGGTGACTGCCTGATTCCAGAAGCTTGTCGAGCTGACTCTTCCTCATATTGGTCCAATATTGACGCCATCTTACCTGGTTAAAGACTACCTGAAACAGAAAATACACACCTCTGTCAGTCCTTGAGGTTAAATAATTTTATCACTCAAAACATGTAAATTACTAAAACAATATTCCAAGCTATCCATGGGACTCCATATCCGTGATAGTGAGAGTTATCATCTGTAATCTGGCATTCCTGTTAAAGGGAAACAATGCTCCAACTCTTAGTTGTCTGGCTGGCACCATCTTAGTTAGCCTGCGTAATCACTGGATGCCAATTAGTATCAGTGACCCAACAAACTGGGCTTTGGACCTTAATTTGGCAATTGCCGGACCTCGCTGATAGCGAGGGGTTATCCCCTTGAATACTCGCATTTTCTGGGATGATGCTTTCTATAACCTTTTACCTTGCAAATTCTATGCCTGTGTAAATGTGAATGTACAATTACGAGTTTAGTATACAGCAACTATGTGTACATGGTGTACGTATTCTTTTGCAAAATTGAGATTCAGTTCCTATACTCAAAACAGCAACGACCCTCATATTGCAAGCAACTTGTATATAATACAACAATTACTACTCCCTTCTTGTCATCAATGTTTCATGGTATAATCTTCACCTGTGTATTTGTCGTCTTTCACTTGATGCTCAGTTAATGATTTTATTACAAGTATAATGGTGGTAGAACCACTCAGATTACCTGACAAAGACTATGCAAAATACTAGTAACTCAATAACATTCACCCCTGCCTCTGAGGATGTCAGGGATATATTATAATGCAGCAATCAGTGGTTTGCATTTGGCATTTCTTGTGTCTGATGTAGTTATCAAATCCAACATTGGGTTATAAATGTAAGTCTGTTGGCGCGAATGTTTTACACATTATGTAATATGAGTGGTAGTGCAGCAAGAGAGGTATGGTAATTGGAGTTGCAAAAAACATTGATCAAAGGAGTAACCGTTAATACCGATATGTCGATTGATTAATCACTGCACAGTGGATTTGCCACAGACATGACTCCTATGTGAAACACCTGAAACAAATTTGCGTGGTCATTTGAGAGACAAACATAGGTTATAATATTCCGAAACGCTATATATAGTTTAAAATATCACATTCTTACAAAGACACGTGACATCAAACAAGTTTCTTTGATCAGCTTCAGACGTATGGGGTAACTGACTGATATTATACATATAACTATGGTCGGTTGACATTCGTATTTTGTTTTCAATATGCAACATGCAATATATAATTTCTGACAACATAATACTTTCCGATACAATTCATCTGATCATCAAAATTCTTTGACGTTATATTAATGGTTATTTTTTAACTGAATAACTGGTAGATTGGTAGAAAATGTGCATACAGCTGATTGCTATTTCCAGCTTAGCTTATGAGAAAATACACATGGTAACCTATATTTCTGCATATATAACAAAGCCTAGTAGAACAGAAAATACAATTTAAATGGTAAATCATCATGTCTAGTGATAATTTATCTGTTCTTTTACCTGAATTCTCCAAAGGGATACTATGTAGTTTTTTTACTGTGCATAATATGATGTTGACTGATTTTCACCCTTTCAAGACGTGTATGCATGAATCAACAACAAACACACAGCTGCAGCTCTATATTGTACATATACCGGGCCCTATGTCATTTATACGGCTTCTCATTTTTCAATCTTCTGATGCGAGTCGTTTCGATTCGTGCAGCGATAATAGCACTGAACACATGTCAAACCAGTCGAAATAATAGTACTAATAAGCATGTTTTAAAGAAAAAGCCGATCTATATTTCAATACTTTCAAACTTGGAGTGTTGTTTCACTTTTGTCACATTTGTGTTCTCAATCATGATTCAACAGAGAGTGACAAGTAACGATGGTCTAGTAAAATATATTTGGCTCGAAACATGAACTAGTATCTGCTATGTATACTAAAATGACACTCAACCTCAACATGCTCAAGACAAAGTCTTTTGACTGATCCTGTGCAGACGAATTTTCATGCACGAAAATGGAAGGTCTATCTGGCAATCTCCAAGCAAGTCTCCCGACTTAATAAGGTTTAGTAGTTATTGTTTGCACACCGACAAGGTTACCTGTATATATATGGGATGTTTACAGCCTGGTAAGAAACATTGGGTGTAGATTAGGTTTTCGAAGCATCTATTTTTTCATAAGAGGCGTAGTGTGATTTCCGCAATCACGAATTATCTCCCATTTTAAACAAAGGGAGGTAAGAAGTAAAGAGAGATTCAAACCACAAATAATTATATGTGTTTAGCCTGGACGAAACAATTCGTCTGATTGCATAAACAGAGCCTGACCACCCGATCCATAGCTCGCCTCTGTCGACAAACACATGTTGCTGGGGACTAATTCTAGCCATAATCTCCCTAGGGAAACTAAATATGAAGGGATGGTCAGACTCTCTGCCTTAGTTGACTGCGGGTCATAGTACCCGAAGGAGTGGACGTTGCTCAAAACTCCAACCAACATTTCCCTGTTCCTGACACATAACTTACATACCGCTGGGATACGGCTAGAACAGTGCTGATTGTGGCGACGCATAAAAAGAAACAAACAAATAATATCTTTTTCTTGTAAATACGTATATCTATGAGAGTTGAAACAAGGTCCAAGTGAATGAGAGGGGAAAAAGCTGGTTGTTAGCCTTTTGAACATATTATTTTTTCCATATTTATAAGTGTTTTTTACATTTCCAGTGGGCCAAAGAAGGCCCTTATTATATCTCATCCTATCCGAATGTTTTGATAAAGTTTGTAATATTTTTGTCAAATCCAATTTCCAAGTGTATACTTTCTTTTCCCCGTCAGTTTATGTTTCTCATACTCCCATGTTTATAATCCAGAAGCCACACCCCGTTACAAATCACATTCATCATGTACATCCATCTGCTTTATGTACACTAACAGAATATAATTTGACTTAATCTAACTATAACGGGAAAACGGAAGAATTAAATATGAGTGACAAAACGGGATCAGTAAAACACTTACAATTCATAACGAACACGCTTATAACGAACTGACGGATCTAACGAAATTATTTTTCGTCCCGACCATTTGTTGTATATAGGCTGTATGTATGCTTATAACGAACTACGGTTATTACGAAATAAAATTAGTGGTCCCCTAGAGTGCGTTATAACCGTAGTTTGCTGTAACCAGATCAGCATTTGTGCGAAATCGTTTCAACAACCATCTCGATCATTCCTCGGTGTGAATACCGCAATACAAAAATGGTGGCCCGTTCTCTATGAAAACGCGACAGGAGAGGTTCGGGTTGTTTCAATATGTGACCAGGACCCACTTGTACAAAGCGATCTTAGCGCCACGACTATCTTAAATATTTCTTAGAGTATGGGAGTAACGACCATCGTAGCGCTGAGATCGCTATGTGCAAGTGGGCCCTGGTTCACTGTGTCATCGTGCCCCGACGATGAGGATTATTGTTCATGCTGTCAACCACTAGTTCTCCAGGTCTAGACGCGACTTATATTCACCGGCATCGGTGTTGAAGCGGAAATTTTGGCGTAAAGCAACATTCACATACTTCTCTATTATTAGCATCGTCTCTAATGTAGGTGTAGGAGTGCTGTACGCACTTGAGCTGACAAGCAGAAACGAGAGGCTGACTCCCATATTTGCTTACGCCGAACGCTCTGACGACCTTCTACAGCTTGGTTGTCTTTTAACATGACAGAATAACGTAGAAGCCGTTCCCAACTTGAAGGGCTTAGATGTTTCTATTATTGTTAAGTGCACATGTATCAATATACTTTATTTTCATAATTGCAAAGTCATTATGAACTTTACTGTTATGAACATTTTTAACATATGTAACTAGTTACCGTATTCATGTAAAGATTTACAAAATGTATTCAAAACTTCAATAACAAAAAATAAATTATGAACCTGGTATCCAAAGAGTTCTATGAAGAAATTAAATTTAAGTTTTTTTATATAGTCACCTCGTTAATCTGGACGGTCGCGTCCCCAGTGAAATTGTCCGTTTTAACAAATGTCCGGAACAACGAAGTATGCAGATTAATGTCTTTTGTTTGTGTGTCAAGACGTTCAAAATAGAATGGTCCGGTAAGCGGGGATTCTGGACTAACGAGGTTACATTTATATACTTGTTTTTATTAAATCACGTTTGTTATTTCTTCATTTAACAATATATGCATCTTTACCATCCATAATAGAAACATTTAAAGTTAGATATTATCTTATATTGCCCCTTCACTGTATCAATAGGTAAACAGCCCTTGCCATACGGACCTAGAAGCAAGTGACATGTCGTGTACACTGCAGCACACATCGCTCCGAGTACCAATATTTACATGACAGTTTTAATGCGTGTGTCTATGTCTCCGAATTCCTACTTACTTCAACGTTACCTCCAATGCAAGAAAAGGTCCTTAATTAGATAAATCAGCATTAATTTATTTCCATAACCACAGTAAACCACACGATATGTCAAGCATCGTATCACACAACGCTCATATAGTACTGCGTCATGATAGTGTCATACAGTTACTGTTATGTGTATACGTTTACAAAATGAACATACAGTAGCTGAAAATGAAGAAAGTATGTGGGAACCTTTTTATTATATTTTATAACTATAATTTAACAACTGTTTTTGTCTGCAAATATGTTCATTTCAGAGACATGATGTTAGTCTACATATGTATATGCGATCTCCAAGAGGCAATGAGGTTGTGACTGGTCTTTTAACGAGAGCACTTTCTATATCGTTTAAGTATAGGTGTGCATGCTCCCTTCCAAATCCCTACCTATACACAGATTACCTCTGATGCAAGAATTCGGAAAGGTCCGAAATTAGATTAAATCACCATTAATCTGTTGCCACCGCCACAATTAACGACAAGATAGAACAGATAACGATTCCCTGAATCACTCGTGTCGAGGAGGGATGTGCTGCCGCAAGTTCCGCTGTTTCAACAACACGCGCACGCACGTCTGTCTGTCTCGCGTTTCCAGGCCATTTCTATAAAAGGAGAAGCCCCCCAAACTCTCGCTTCTGCAATTAATTCTGCAACTCCGGGAGAAAACGAGACTATCGCTTCTGTCACTGCCCTGTGTGGAGTACACAAGACCAGATCAACAGCTTGTAAGTACCTGTATTATACTATCTGGTATGGAAGATACGTCTTCTATTGAATAATGTACCATCTTATAGTAATTGTGAAAGTGGTCATATTCCTGTGATAATGTGTGTTGTGGTGTATCGCATGCCCGCGTCATAGATCTTTTTTTATTACTTGCATGGGACTGGTAAGATATGTTGTAGATTCTCACTGAAGATATCTTTTGAAGCTTACGGAACAGTATTTCATCAGCTGCTTTAGCAGAAGATGGTCCCAAGGCCATCTTGTTTACGGGATTCTGCCGTTAGACATTCTTTAAATATACTTGAAAACCTGCTGTGGTATTATCAGAACTGGTGGCGCGTTTGCTGTATCAAATGGGAATATAAACCTCCTAAATTGATGTAGAAAACCTCACATGCCGTATTTCGGAATCTACTTAGTGTTTTCGGGTTTTTCAGTAGTAACTAATGAAACAAGCAAGTTTTTGGACTTTCCACTCTCGATCCTCATTAAAAGTGTTTGACTTGCATCTTCCCGCCATTGCTATTGTACTTCACTAAAAAAAACTACTTTTCTCGGAAACAACAAATCACAAAGTGTCGGATAATTTAAGAGAATGATTTTGCTGTTTCACTTTTTTCTTTGCTTCACAATCATAATTACCACACATTGAGCTTGCAGATAAAATATACGATCTGACCAAATAAAGTGATTTGCGAATTGTTTGCGTTTTGTTGACGGAAGTCATTCCACCAACTGTTGGGGTTCGTCTCATCACCATCTACATCATTCTATAAAGATTTACTCCATTTTGATTTATGTCTGAATGAAACATCGTAACACGTTTACATCACACTAGGTTATCGTGTTTCAAAATGCGACATTCAAGTGACAGGATGTCGGAACTATAAAATAGTAATTGTACAGCGAATGATAGATGTTTGAAACGCCCCCTAAGATGGCGTCTGGCAAAGAACCAAGTGGCTTGCTGATTCGACAATGTCTCCGGAATTCCCGTTGTATTAGGAAAAACACGCAGCAGACAGCGCCTGTTGCTATAATTATGCCTCCGAAACTTATGATATTTCTATACTTGCAGTAACATATTCCATGGCGATATTTGCTGAGCTAAATCCGCAATTTTGGACTTTTGACGTTAAAGGCCTTCTCGTCCAGTAAAACACTAATATTGTCTGGTGTGAAAGATACGTCTGCTATTATGTTTTTGCTATTGAAAGATGGCTTTCTCATCAGTCGTGCTGACAGTCGTATGTGACCTTGAAGATGTCGTTGCTAGTACCACGGGGGAGAGAAGGGCACGTCCTTTACATTGTGTACAACGAACCCCTTTATTCCGGACTCCTTGACTCAAGTAATTCTCACCAGAAATAAATTACTCCATCAATTACACCTCCAAAATACGTTTGTTAGTTCTGCATTCGATGAATACGGGATTCCAAACATCCGGATTAAAGAGGTTTTAAGGATAAATCGGGCGTTCTCTGGTGAAGTGCAGAAAGCACAGTGTTTTATGATATGTATCTACAATGATTCCTTTTAATAACAAACATATACTTTATGTATAATTTATTATATTTTATATTAAATTTTATACTTTAGCTTCATGTTATTATCGACAACGGACTATAGGTTTGTTGTGACGATCATTGTACTGATGAGTATGATCAGGTGAGAATGATATATGTGTCAGAATATTAAGGTTGAATAATGAAGATGAGATGGCGAGATTATGGTAAAATAATATTCGACGAATGATGTCTAGCGTTGTTAGCATTCCGGGTCAGAATAAATCCCCAGCACCCCATTTTGTCCGACGGTCTGGTAAAATGAGTACCGGGTGGTTACAATGGACGCCATGGACTATACTTTCTGTCACTGGTTCGTTTGACTGGAATATTTCAAGGCTGCCGTGATACAGCTGGAATAGTGCTAACTGCGGCGTAAAGAACCATCCACTTACTCCAACAACGACAACGCATCTCTACCTCATGTTAGTAAATCGACAAAGACGAATAAGAACATCACACGATTGTCCCTATTAAAGTCCTTAGCGAAACTTATAAGAATAGTTATACATCCATGCACTTATCGCTCAGCCTTAGCGACCCGTGAAGATCCGGGGTAGAATAGGTCTTCAGGAACCTATGCTTGTCGTAAAAGGCGACTATGCTTGTCGTAAGAGGCGACTAACGGGATCAGACGGTCAGGCTCGCTGACTTGGTTGATGCATGTCATCGTATTCCAATTGCGTGGATCGATGCTCATGATGTCAATCACTGGATTGTCTGGTCCAGTCTCGATTATTTACAGACCGCCGTCATATAGCTGGAATATAGTGCGGCGTTAAACAACAAACAAACAAACAAACAAACAAACAAACAGCAAGGCTAAGGTGATGCCGACGATAGCTCTCTTGACAATGACAGCAAAATGGTTTCTTCCCCTCAAGGGAGAATTATTTAAGAAAAGAAGTGCGATAACCGACTTCCATGTCTGCAACGTTCTCAACGCGATTGCCACTTGTCTGTAGACAAGTTGACACGTGAACTAACACATCTGTTAAGTGATTCCCAATTTAGAAGCTTCTGAAGAAACATAAACGCACGAGTTATTCTACGCTGGTTGCCATGGAGATCACAAAAACGAGGGTTGTGGTATCTAAAAATACGGATAAAATGCTTGAAACATCATGCCAAACAACCTTGTTTGATTCTGTGTCTGTTGTGTCACAGTGGTAGGGTTGGGTAGTGGGTAGGTCATGTTCATGAGACGAACTAAAAACGTTTGACAGTTGAGTGTGAATGAATCGCGTGCATGTTTCTACTGGAATAGTGGGTTTGTCGAAGATGGAATTGGGGAACATGAAATGGAAGGTTTATCTGGGGGAACGTGAAGAAAAGGAAACACTTGTAGGAATGGTCATGAAAACATGGAACGTTTATCTACTTTTAAAATATGTACTATTCGGTAATATGTTATATTATAATATAATATGATATTTAAGGAAGGGCGCAAATACAAGACATATGTTGAGGAGGGAAATCCTGTTTAAGTGACTCATGAATGAAAAACCCTCCGCCCCACTGTCAATAATAAAATTCCCATTTTTTTTAAAATCGTGAATACACATATACCTTGCACATATTTTGTGGTTTTAATTAATAGCAGATATATTTCTTTTATATCTACTTTGCTCTAATTTAAAGTGTATGTCTGTATTACAGTAGAACAGATTTAATGGAATCAAATAAGGTATAGAACAACTCGAATGATTGCAAGACATCGTGAATAATACTTGCAGATATAATCGCAGAAGACTTTAACCTTACATGTCGGGATAGGTCAAATTCTATGAAATTATGGATTAAGGAATAGAATATATGGACGTCTACTTCTTTATTATGTGTTCCTCATAATAAAGGAGTCGACATCCATAAATTCTCTTCCTCATGTGTATCACTTCTAAATGCCGTTCAAAGACCTGATACTCATGGATTGTAACAGGACTAATAAAACACGATGGCATGTTGTCAAATATATCCAATATAGCCCATGCAAGTCTATAATAGTGGACAAGTCTAGATTAATGCAGTATCTGAAAATGAAGAGAATCTCTGGGCTCCTTTTTATTATATTTTATTAAGATAATATAATAACTGTCTTGGTGGCACATAAATGGGGCTTGACCACAGGACATTTTGGAGTGCTGTAGCAAGTCATTGTAAACCAATTTGGCTATCTATATCATCACAGTTGTTTGTTTATTCATATCAATCAGTCGTAATTATAACACTAATTATACAGCTACAATGACTGACTTCCAGTTCAGTGAAGTGAGGTGAGGTTAACTAAAGGGAGATTAACTTCGTGTTCAACATTATTGCAATTATATAGCGACGTGCATGCACGTGTGTGTGTGGCTGCTTGTACTAGTCAGGTCTTCTGCATGTGAGATACCATGCCACAGTTTAACATGGATACTCCACTCAGATACATGTACTTATTTCGAGCTGACCAGTCCTTGTTTTATCCACCTAATGGCGAGCGCCAGGCAGGGAAACAATAAGTACCATACTTTTAGGTCTTTTGGTCTTGCCTACATGCGTAAATATTATTCATGAAAACCCAGCTTGATCTTCCCCGTGATCCTGAAATATTTGTTAACGAGGCGTAATACCTCATCCGCTTCCAAAGTAGAAATGATTAATATATAAGCAATTTTTCAAGACCAGACGGGGCGGTCGGGTAACCTAGTGGTTAAAGCGTTCGCTCGTCACGCCGAAGACCCGGGTTCGATTCCCGACATGGGTACAATGTGTGAAGCCCATTTCTGGTGTCCCCCGCCGTGATATTGCTGGAAGATTGCTAAAAGCTGCGTAAAACCATACTCACTCACTACAAGACCAGACAATTCAGCGATTTACATCCAGCGACTTGTAAGAGGCGACTAACGGGATCGGGTGGTCAGGCTCGCTGACTTGCTTGATGCGTGTCATCGTATCCCAATTGCGTAGATCGATGCTCATAGTGTCAATCACTGGATTTTCTTGACCTGGCTCGATTATTAACAAACCGCCGTCAAATAGCTGGAATATAACAGCGTTAAACAACATACAAATAATATACATAGCTTAAGTCGAACAAGACATTTAAGCATACAATTTTGAAAAAGAATATTCCCCAATGTTGTATGAGAGAGAGCTGGAAATGGAGTTCAGATGAGTGTTTTCATCATTATATTACTATGTCAAATACATTACGTGCGATAACACACTGGCGCAGTAAAAACACGTGATACTCTGACATGTCACCGTGACTAATGCCAATGCACGAGGTGCATGCTTAAGGTTATCTCGCACGCATTCTCATGTAGAGGTCTAAGGTGCAAAAGGTCATGACTCTAAATTTAGTTTTCCGATATGGGCACAGACGTTCATATACAGACGTTATTTACAGCAAATCGGCAGGAGGAAACGGGATATATGTCATGTGACCAGGAAGAACCCAGCGAGTCTTTCGCCCCCACGAAGGTCTAAATTTACACCTTCCCATAACATGCCCAGCGCATTCTCAGAGAGCCGTTATCTGTCAGACATTCCACGCCGAGACAGCGCTCGCAGACACGCGCAGATTGTTGACTTTGTATGACGCAGTTCCAATGTGCAAATGTTTCTTTCATTAATTGTAAATTTTTATGTTTAGTTTGCCTTTACTGTCGGGTCATGTCAGGATTGTGAACAGTTGTACAAGACCAAATTTGCACTTTTGTCGATGCTGTCTTTTGGGTGCATGTAGTAACACGAACATATTTCTTCCAGACACTGATGTTTCTTTTGAAGATTGTCTTGCGACCGCAGTGTAAATTTAGTTTAACTCTGTCACAATTGCCCTCCTGAATTTGTTTCCACTGATGCGTCTACAAATCGCAAGGAGGGAATTCGTGTGTGGACATAAGATAACCCCAACGATACTGATATGACGCCATCCTTGTATAGACTGGTTCATGGTTGAAATGAGTTGCATCACCTTTATAATGATGAGACGGATTCGTGCAGTTGATGGTTCTCTTGGGATTTCCCTTTTGGTTAAACGTCGATATCTTGTCACAGGACATAACTGATACAGTTTGCTTTTTCCTTTAATAAAGAGCTCAAGTGAAATATTATAAATTGTGTTTGAAACTTCATGAGACAATGCAAGTTGGTAAAGGAAATCAGATATTTGCCTACCGGGCATATTAAGGAATTTAAAGGACTCAGCAATGTCGTAAAACGTCATGATAATATTTTGACATTTCCTTCAGGAAGGTTTCGCGTATAACAGTATAATGTATTTTGTTTACTTTTCCCAGTTTAATGTTTCAAAAAATGTTAGGTAAAGAATTAAAGAAAGTAGCCTAGTTAAGACAAGGCCGACAGGGGGTGTTCTCTTTAGAATGAGTGAGTGAGTGAGTATGGTTTTACGCCGCTTTTAGCAATATTCCAGCAATATCACGGCGGGGGACACCAGAAATGGGCTTCACACATTGTACCCATGTCGGGAATCGAACCCAGGTCTTCGGCGTGACGAGCGAACGCTTTAACCACTGGGCTACTCGACCGCCCCCTTCAGAATGACGTGTACGGTGTTTTCAGGTGAGAGTAATTGAGCAGAGTTACAGCACCCGGCACTAATTGCTGGCGTGCAAAACAGTAAACAGTTGTTGGCACCTGTTCTCAGAACTCATCTCCAGAACTTTACCCCAGCTCAATTCTCAGAAAATGTCCCTTTCAAGAAAGGTCTTGTTTCGTCATAAAATTGTCAGTAAGTTGTGGTCAGCAGACATTCCAGTGTGACCCGTGAAGACCCGAGTTGGAATAGGTCTTCAGCAACACATGCTTGCCGTAAAAGGCGTCAACGCTTGTCGTAAGAGGCGACTAACGGGATCGGGTGGTCAGGCTCGCTGACTTGGTTGATTCATGTCATCGTATCTCAATTGCGTGGATCGATGCTCATGATGTCAATCACTAAATTGTCTTGGCCACACTCGATTTTTGACAGACCGCCATCATATATATATATATCCGGAATATTAATTGCTGCGTGCGGCGTTAACTAACAAACAAACAAACATTCCCGAGTTCCTCACCCTTCACATAGCTTGACACAAGGGAGTACTATGTAACTATAAACAAAACAAATATGGTGCCTGTCTGGTCAGTCTATGGGGCACCGAGTTGTATCACAAACATTTTGTATTTCTTTGAAAAATTTACAATCTTGTCAAAACCTGCTCTCTTATAGACTGAAACGGGCACCGGCTGGAACCCGGACCGAGATACTCGTATGCGTAGGCAGAGTTAAGGCAGGGGGTATTAGATTACATGATTTTCACATACTTTCAGCGATTTTTATATACAGAAGTTATTTCTTAGTTTCTTCTGCAAAGTTCCGTCTCTCAGAAGTAACTTCCCGTTTAGGACACGTGACCTGTCTCAGTCTATGTTGGTTTATTATATCATACAAGTAGAAATTGCTGCAGTGCATCAATGGTTCCCCGCCATATAATTTAATGGGCAGGGAGGAAGTGTAAGCTGGGGGAGGACAGAATTGGTGTAAACTACAAATTGGTTGTTATTAATGTAGTTATCTTTGGAAAGCACAATAAAAGAAACAGTGTCTTTAAATGGTCAGCACAAGAAAACCCAAGGCAAGAAAACACACAACTGGGTCTGTCAGGCAAAACTTGATATATACCCACTATTAGTACCAATAATATAAAAAGTAATTGATTACAAGTCCTATGTAGATAACACAACAAATGTCATTCTTAAACATGGTTTGGCACCAAATATCAATATTTCTGGTCAAAATGTTGGTTGGTTGGGCGGGGAAGAATAACCGTACTGCATGTAAACTTAAGATTACTTAAAGTTGTATGTATGTCACCTGTAAGGTAATTGTAATAAATTATGCCTATGGGTATTGTATTTAGTATCCATATTTAATATGTCGCATGGTTGCACGATTGGGTGTGGGGTGGGGTGTGGGATGGGGTGGGGTTTGTGGGGTGTGGGGTGGGGTGTGGGGCGTGTGTGTTGGCATCAACAACAAATAAGTATTTTAAGTGCAAAGTTTTACTGATATCTTTTAAAAAAATATATGTATACAATAACAAGAATGTGCCAGGCAACTTAAGCACTAGTGTTTTTTGTATCTATAAAAACATAGTGAGCTTGTTGATTGTAAATTCTATAACGATAAGTTCAAAATGGACGAATACCGATTTGGACACCAACTTAAAAAAGTTAATTTGATTTAACTGAATTTAGTTTGTGGATACGGATGATAAGGTAAAGTCCGACGATTATCAACTGTATAGTAAGGTGATACGCAACTTAAAACTTGGTGAAACATTCGTGAAACATGACAGGTGAAATGTGAAACTACTGAATGATCAGTTGAGGTGTAGTATTAGGGGTGAGAAGTTACACAACGTTGTAGCCGTTTGATGTTTGGTTTTTAAAGTCGACTGTAAATTCGAAATCATGATTCAAGTCACAATCCTGGATTAAAATGACCCAGGCCGAGCGGTCGGATAGCCTAATGGTTATAGCGTTCGCTCTTTACGCCGAGGACCCGGGTTCGATTCCCGACATGGGTACAATGTGTGAAGCCAATTTCTGGTGTCCCCGGCCGTGATATTGCTTGAGTATTGCTTAAAGCGGCGTCAAACCATAGTCACTCACTCACTCACCCATTCATACTACCAACCTCTCGTTTCGTCACCCTCTATTTAACTACACTCGGCCTTGGACTTTTATTGGGCCAAATGTATATTGACGTTGACATTCACACATTAGACGGGCGCTGCCGTTTTAAGGCAGCACACTCATGCTCATCAGTTTCACATATACACGACCGCCTCCGTGGCCTAGTGGTAGAGCGTCCGCCCGGAGAGCGGAAGGTCCGGATCCCCGGCCGCGTCATACCAAAAAAGACGTTCAAAGATGGTACTTGTTGTTACCCTGTCTGGCGCTCGGCATTAAGGGGCTAAAACAAGGGCTGGTCGGCTCGGAGTCAGTTTACTGTGTCTAAGTGGGGTATTCATGTTAAACTGCGGCATGGTATCTCAGTTGGGTAGCACTTTAAATCGGCATCAGTCCGGACTAGTACTAGTACAAGCAGCCACACACACACTTGCATGCACGTCGCTATACAAGTGCAATAATCTTGGACGCGACGTAAAGCCCAATTTCACCTCACCTCACCTTTACATATACACTGTCATTGTGGTATAAGGTTAATGTTGATTCCCTTTGTCTCTGCCATTCCATCTGGGCTTGATAATACGAGTATATTTTGTCCTTGAACACAGACCAAATTGTTTTAAACTGTATTAAGTTACACCATTTGCCAGGGATTTATACAATAGGCGTTAAAATATGCACAGAATTACATCTACATTTTGATGTACATGGTATGTAAATATGCACATGTACATGTGATAGTATGTTACCTGTATTCGACCTACGTTTTCGTGTCACGTCACGCGTATTTTTCTTTCCATCAATATGTTACACTGATGTATTTTGATAATATTCAGAATAAATATATTTTCAATGTAGAACGATACAGAGCATTCCTATTTCCTTGACCAGGCTGAAAAAATGAATAAATGGATTTTTTTTACTTCTATGTAGGGATATGATCTACACACACGAAGCCATGTTGTGATTTATAAGGGTTGTGGAAATGTTCTAATCACTGTGTCGATTTGTTTCAGCAGTTGAGTAAGTTCCCCCACTAACCAGCCATCATGTCTGACGCCAGCAGAGCCAAGAAGTCCGGTATTGGATATCAGATCGAACAGAAGATGGAAACCGTAAGTTCATCTTAGTTCCTTACACATTGTAGAACACCCTTTGTCTGCGGATTTCAGATCTACCGTCAGGTGGACGGTATCCCCGATACTACCCCCTTTGCATTATCTCTCTCCCAGTTCCAGAGTTTCAGAGCAACAATCTAACATTGTCTCGCCCTCTGTTTCAGAGCAACAATCATCTGGATGGTACACTCGATGCTACCTTTCTCACATTGTCTCGCCCTCTGTTTCAGAGCTACAATCTCCTGGGTGGTACACTCGATGCTACCTTTTCTCACATTGTCTCGCCCTCTGTTTCAGAGCAACAATCTCCTGGGTGGTACACTCGATGCTACCCTTTTCTCACAGTGTCTCGCCCTCTGTTTCAGAACTACAGTTTTCTGGATGGTACCCTCGATACTACCCTTTTCTAACATTGTTTCGCCCTCTGTTTCAGAGGTACAATCATCTGGAAGGTACCCTCGATGCTACCCTTTTCTCACATTGTCTCGCCCTCTGTTTCAAAGCAACAATCTCCTGGGTGGTACACTCGATGTTACCTTTTCTCACATTGTCTCGCCCTCTGTTTCAGAGCAACAATCTCCTGGGTGGTACACTCGATGCTACCCTTTTCTCACATTGTCTCGCCCTCTGTTTCAGAGCAACAATCTCCTGGACGGTACCCTCGATGCTACCTTTTCTCACATTGTCTCGCCCTCTGTTTCAGAGCTACAATCATCTGGAAGGTACCCTCGATGCTACCCTTTTCTCACATTGTCTCGCCCTCTGTTTCAGAGCAACAATCTCCTGGATGGTACCCTCGATGTTACCTTTTCTCACATTGTCTCGCCCTCTGTTTGAGCTACAATCATCTGGATAATAACATCGATACTACCCTTTTCTCACATTGTCCTGCTCTCTGTTTCAGAGCTACAATCATCTGGATGGTACCCTCGATGCTACCTTTTCTCACATTGTCTCGCTCTCTGTTTCAGAGCTACAATCATCTGGATGGTACCCTCGATGCTACCTTTTCTCACATTGTCTCGCCCTCTGTTTCAGAGCTACAATCATCTGGATGGTACCCTCGATGCTACCTTTTCTCACATTGTCTCGCTCTCTGTTTCAGAGCTACAATCATCTGGATGGTACCCTCGATGCTACCCTTTTCTCACAGTGTCTCGCCCTCTGTTTCAGAACTACAGTTTTCTGGATGGTACCCTCGATACTACCATTTTCTAACATTGTTTCGCCCTCTGTTTCAGAGGTACAATCATCTTGATGGTACCCTCGATGCTACCCTTTTCTCACATTGTCTCGCCCTCTGTTTCAGAGCAACAATCTCCTTGATGGTACACTCGATGCTACCCTTTTCTCACATTGTCTCGCTCTCTGTTTCAGAGCAACAATCTCCTTGACGGTACCCTCGATGCTACCTTTTCTCACATTGTCTCGCCCTCTGTTTCAGAGCTACAATCATCTGGAAGGTACCCTCGATGCTACCCTTTTCTCACATTGTCTCGCCCTCTGTTTCAGAGCAACAATCTCCTGGATGGTACCCTCGATGTTACCTTTTCTCACATTGTCTCGTCCTCTGTTTGAGCTACAATCATCTGGATAATAACCTCGATACTACCCTTTTCTCACATTGTCCTGCTCTCTGTTTCAGAGCTACAATCATCTGGATGGTACCCTCGATGCTACCTTTTCTCACATTGTCTCGCTCTCTGTTTCAGAGCTACAATCATCTGGATGGTACCCTCGATGCTACCTTTTCTCACATTGTCTCGCCCTCTGTTTCAGAGCAACAATCTCCTGGGTGGTACACTCGATGCTACCTTTTCTCACATTGTCTCGCCCTCTGTTTCAGAGCAACAATCTCCTGGGTGGTACACTCGATGCTACCTTTTCTCACATTGTCTCGCCCTCTGTTTCAGAGCAACAATCTCCTGGGTGGTACACTCGATGTTACCCTTTTCTCACATTGTCTCGCCCTCTGTTTCAGAGCAACAATCTCCTGGGTGGTACACTCGATGTTACCTTTTCTCACATTGTCTCGCCCTCTGTTTCAGAGCAACAATCATCTGGATGGTACCCTCGATGCTACCCTTTTCTCGCATTGTCTCGCTCTCTGTTTCAGAGCTACAATCATCTGGATGGTACCCTCGATGCTACCCTTTTCTCACATTGTCTCGCCCTCTGTTTCAGAGCAACAATCTCCTGGATGGTACCCTCGATGTTACCTTTTCTCACATTGTCTCGCCCTCTGTTTGAGCTACAATCATCTGGATAATAACCTCGATACTACCCTTTTCTCACATTGTCCTGCTCTCTGTTTCAGAGCTACAATCTCCTGGGTGGTACCCTCGATGCTACCTTTTCTCACATTGTCTCGCTCTCTGTTTCAGAGCTACAATCATCTGGATGGTACCCTCGATGCTACCTTTTCTCACATTGTCTCGCCCTCTGTTTCAGAGCTACAATCATCTGGATGGTACCCTCGATGCTACCTTTTCTCACATTGTCTCGCTCTCTGTTTCAGAGCTACAATCATCTGGATGGTACCCTCGATGCTACCCTTTTCTCACAGTGTCTCGCCCTCTGTTTCAGAACTACAGTTTTCTGGATGGTACCCTCGATACTACCCTTTTCTAACATTGTTTCGCCCTCTGTTTCAGAGGTACAATCATCTTGATGGTACCCTCGATGCTACCCTTTTCTCACATTGTCTCGCCCTCTGTTTCAGAGCAACAATCTCCTTGATGGTACACTCGATGCTACCCTTTTCTCACATTGTCTCGCTCTCTGTTTCAGAGCAACAATCTCCTTGACGGTACCCTCGATGCTACCTTTTCTCACATTGTCTCGCCCTCTGTTTCAGAGCTACAATCATCTGGAAGGTACCCTCGATGCTACCCTTTTCTCACATTGTCTCGCCCTCTGTTTCAGAGCAACAATCTCCTGGATGGTACCCTCGATGTTACCTTTTCTCACAGTGTCTCGTCCTCTGTTTGAGCTACAATCATCTGGATAATAACCTCGATACTACCCTTTTCTCACATTGTCCTGCTCTCTGTTTCAGAGCTACAATCATCTGGATGGTACCCTCGATGCTACCTTTTCTCACATTGTCTCGCTCTCTGTTTCAGAGCTACAATCATCTGGATGGTACCCTCGATGCTACCTTTTCTCACATTGTCTCGCCCTCTGTTTCAGAGCAACAATCTCCTGAGTGGTACACTCGATGTTACCTTTTCTCACATTGTCTCGCCCTCTGTTTCAGAGCAACAATCTCCTGGGTGGTACACTCGATGCTACCTTTTCTCACATTGTCTCGCCCTCTGTTTCAGAGCAACAATCTCCTGGGTGGTACACTCGATGCTACCTTTTCTCACATTGTCACGCCCTCTGTTTCAGAGCAACAATCTCCTGGGTGGTACACTCGATGTTACCCTTTTCTCACATTGTCTCGCCCTCTGTTTCAGAGCAACAATCTCCTGGGTGGTACACTCGATGTTACCTTTTCTCACATTGTCTCGCCCTCTGTTTCAGAGCAACAATCATCTGGATGGTACCCTCGATGCTACCCTTTTCTCGCATTGTCTCGCTCTCTGTTTCAGAGCAACAATCTCCTGGGTGGTACACTTGATGCTACCCTTTTCTCACATTGTCTCGCCCTCTGTTTCAGAGCAACGATCTCCTGGATGGTACCCTCGATGCTACCTTTTCTCACATTGTCTCGCCCTCTGTTTCAGAGCTACAATCATCTGGATGGTACCCTCGATGCTACCTTTTCTCACATTGTCTCGCCCTCTGTTTCAGAGCTACAATCATCTGGATGGTACCCTCGATGCTACCCTTTTCTCACAGTGTCTCGCCCTCTGTTTCAGAACTACAGTTTTCTGGATGGTACCCTCGATACTACCCTTTTCTAACATTGTTTCGCCCTCTGTTTCAGAGGTAGAATCATCTTGATGGTACCCTCGATGCTACCCTTTTCTCACACTGTCTCGCCCTCTGTTTCAGAGCAACAATCTCCTGGGTGGTACACTCGATGCTACCCTTTTCTCACATTGTCTCGCTCTCTGTTTCAGAGCAACAATCTCCTGGATGGTACCCTCGATGCTACCTTTTCTCACATTGTCTCGCTCTCTGTTTCAGAGCAACAATCATCTGGAAGGTACCCTCGATGCTACCCTTTTCACACATTGTCTCGCCCTCTGTTTCAGAGCAACAATCTCCTGGATGGTACCCTCGATGCCACCTTTTCTCACATTGTCTCGCCCTCTGTTTGAGCTACAATCATCTGGATAATACCCTCGATACTACCCTTTTCTCACATTGTCCTGCTCTCTGTTTCAGAGCTACAATCATCTGGATGGTACCCTCGATGCTACCCTTTTCTCACATTGTCTCGCCCTCTGTTTCAGAGCAACAATCTCCTGGGTGGTACACTCGATGCTACCCTTTTCTCACATTGTCTCGCTCTCTGTTTCAGAGCAACAATCTCCTGGATGGTACCCTCGATGCTACCTTTTCTCACATTGTCTCGCCCTCTGTTTCAGAGCTACAATCATCTGGAAGGTACCCTCGATGCTACCCTTTTCTCACATTGTCTCGCCCTCTGTTTCAGAGCAACAATCTCCTGGGTGGTACACTCGATGTTACCCTTTTCTCACATTGTCTCGCCCTCTGTTTCAGAGCAACAATCTCCTGGGTGGTACACTCGATGTTACCTTTTCTCACATTGTCTCGCCCTCTGTTTCAGAGCTACAATCATCTGGATGGTACCCTCGATGCTACCCTTTTCTCACATTGTCTCGCTCTCTGTTTCAGAGCAACAATCTCCTGGGTGGTACACTCGATGCTACCCTTTTCTCACATTGTCTCGCCCTCAGTTTCAGAGCAACAATCTCCTGGATGGTACCCTCGATGCTACCTTTTCTCACATTGTCTCGCCCTCTGTTTCAGAGCTACAATCATCTGGATGGTACCCTCGATGCTACCCTTTTCTCACAGTGTCTCGCCCTCTGTTTCAGAACTACAGTTTTCTGGATGGTACCCTCGATACTACCCTTTTCTAACATTGTTTTGCCCTCTGTTTCAGAGGTAGAATCATCTTGATGGTACCCTCGATGCTACCCTTTTCTCACACTGTCTCGCCCTCTGTTTCAAAGCAACAATCTCCTGGGTGGTACACTCGATGCTACCCTTTTCTCACATTGTCTCGCCCTCTGTTTCAGAGCAACAATATCCTGGATGGTACCCTCGATGCTACCTTTTCTCACATTGTCTCGCTCTCTGTTTCAGAGCAACAATCATCTGGAAGGTACCCTCGATGCTACCCTTTTCTCACATTGTCTCGCCCTCTGTTTCAGAGCAACAATCTCCTGGATGGTACCCTCGATGCTACCTTTTCTCACATTGTCTCGCCCTCTGTTTCAGAGCTACAATCATCTGGAAGGTACCCTCGATGCTACCCTTTTCTCACATTGTCTCGCCCTCTGTTTCAGAGCAACAATCTCCTGGGTGGTACACTCGATGTTACCCTTTTCTCACATTGTCTCGCCCTCTGTTTCAGAGCAACAATCTCCTGGGTGGTACACTCGATGTTACCTTTTCTCACATTGTCTCGCCCTCTGTTTCAGAGCTACAATCATCTGGATGGTACCCTCGATGCTACCCTTTTCTCACATTGTCTCGCTCTCTGTTTCAGAGCAACAATCTCCTGGGTGGTACACTCGATGCTACCCTTTTCTCACATTGTCTCGCCCTCAGTTTCAGAGCAACAATCTCCTGGATGGTACCCTCGATGCTACCTTTTCTCACATTGTCTCGCCCTCTGTTTCAGAGCTACAATCATCTGGATGGTACCCTCGATGCTACCCTTTTCTCACAGTGTCTCGCCCTCTGTTTCAGAACTACAGTTTTCTGGATGGTACCCTCGATACTACCCTTTTCTAACATTGTTTTGCCCTCTGTTTCAGAGGTAGAATCATCTTGATGGTACCCTCGATGCTACCCTTTTCTCACACTGTCTCGCCCTCTGTTTCAAAGCAACAATCTCCTGGGTGGTACACTCGATGCTACCCTTTTCTCACATTGTCTCGCCCTCTGTTTCAGAGCAACAATATCCTGGATGGTACCCTCGATGCTACCTTTTCTCACATTGTCTCGCTCTCTGTTTCAGAGCAACAATCATCTGGAAGGTACCCTCGATGCTACCCTTTTCTCACATTGTCTCGCCCTCTGTTTCAGAGCAACAATCTCCTGGATGGTACCCTCGATGCTACCTTTTCTCACATTGTCTCGCCCTCTGTTTGAGCTACAATCATCTGGATAATACCCTCGATACTACCCTTTTCTCACATTGTCCTGCTCTCTGTTTCAGAGCTACAATCATCTGGATGGTACCCTCGATGCTACCCTTTTCTCACATTGTCTCGCTCTCTGTTTCAGAGCAACAATCATCTGGATGGTACCCTCGATGCTACCTTTTCTCACACTGTCTCGCCCTCTGTTTCAAAGCAACAATCTCCTGAGTGGTACACTCGATGTTACCTTTTCTCACATTGTCTCGCCCTCTGTTTGAGAGCTACAATCATCTGGATGGTACACTCGATGCTACCTTTTCTCACATTGTCTCGCCCTCTGTTTGAGAGCAACAATCTCCTGAGTGGTACACTCGATGTTACCTTTTCTCACATTGTCTCGCCCTCTGTTTCAGAGCAACAATCATCTGGATGGTACACTCGATGCTACCTTTTCTCACATTGTCTCGCTCTCTGTTTGAGAGCAACAATCTCCTGGGTGGTACACTCGATGTTACCTTTTCTCACATTGTCTCGCCCTCTGTTTCAGAGCTACAATCATCTGGATGGTACCCTCGATGCTACCCTTTTCTCACATTGTCTCGCCTTCTGTTTGAGAGCAACAATCTCCTGGGTGGTACACTCGATGTTACCTTTTCTCACATTGTCTCGCCCTCTGTTTCAGAGCTACAATCATCTGGATGGTACCCTCGATGCTACCCTTTTCTCACATTGTCTCGCCTTCTGTTTCAGAGCAACAATCTCCTGGGTGGTACACTCGATGTTACCTTTTCTCACATTGTCTCGCCCTCTGTTTCAGAGCTACAATCATCTGGATGGTACCCTCGATGCTACCCTTTTCTCACATTGTCTCGCTCTCTGTTTCAGAGCAACAATATCCTGGGTGGTACACTCGATGCTACCCTTTTCTCACATTGTCTCGCCCTCTGTTTCAGAGCAACGATCTCCTGGATGGTACCCTCGATGCTACCTTTTCTCACATTGTCTCGCCCTCTGTTTCAGAGCTACAATCATCTGGATGGTACACTCGATGCTACCTTTTCTCACATCATCTCGCCCTCTGTTTCAGAGCTACAATCATCTGGATGGTACCCTCGATGCTACCCTTTTCTCACATTGTCTCGCTCTCTGTTTCAGAGCAACAATCTCCTGGGTGGTACACTCGATGTTACCTTTTCTCACATTGTCTCGCCCTCTGTTTCAGAGCTACAATCATCTGGATGGTACCCTCGATGCTACCCTTTTCTCACATTGTCTCGCTCTCTGTTTCAGAGCAACAATCTCCTGGGTGGTACACTCGATGTTACCTTTTCTCACATTGTCTCGCCCTCCGTTTCAGAGCAACAATCTCCTGGGTCGTACACTCGATGCTACCCTTTTCTCACATTGTCTCGCCCTCTTTTTCAGACCTACAATCTCCTGGATGGTACACTCTATGTTACCTTTTCTCACATTGTCTCGCCCTCTGTTTCAGAGCAACAATCTCCTGGGTGGTACACTCTATGTTACCTTTTCTCACACTGTCACGCCCTCTTTTTCAGAGCAACAATCTCCTTGATGGTACCCTCGATGCTACCCTTTTCTCACAGTGTCTCGCCCTCTGTTTCAGAGCTACAATCATCTGGATGGTACCCTCGATGCTACCCTTTTCTAACATTGTCTCGCCCTCTGTTTCAGAGCTACAATCATCTGGATGGTACCCTCGATGCTACCTTTTCTCACATAGTCTCGCCCTCTGTTTCAGAGCTACAATCATCTGGATGGTACCCTCGATGCTACCCTTTTCTCACATTGTCTCGCTCTCTGTTTCAGAGCAACAATCTCCTGGGTCGTACACTCGATGCTACTTTTTCTCACATTGTCTCGCCCTCTTTTTCAGAGCTACAATCTCCTGGATGGTACACTCTATGTTACCTTTTCTCACATTGTCTCGCCCTCTGTTTCAGAGCAACAATCTCCTGGGTGGTACACTCTATGTTACCTTTTCTCACACTGTCTCGCCCTCTTTTTCAGAGCAACAATCTCCTGGGTGGTACCCTCGATGCTACCCTTTTCTCACAGTGTCTCGCCCTCTGTTTCAGAGCTACAATCATCTGGATGGTACCCTCGATGCTACCCTTTTCTAACATTGTCTCGCCCTCTGTTTCAGAGCTACAATCATCTGGATGGTACCCTCGATGCTACCCTTTTCTCACATTGTCTCGCCCTCTGTTTCAGAGCTACAATCATCTGGATGGTACCCTCGATGCTACCCTTTTCTCACATTGTCTCGCACTCTGTTTTAGAGCTACAATCATCTGGATGGTACCCTCGATGCTACCCTTTTCTAACATTGTCTCGTACTCTGTTTCAGAGCTACAATCATCTGGATGGTACCCTCGATGCTACCCTTTTCTCACAGTGTCTCGCTCTCTGTTTCAGACCAACAATCTCCTGGGTGATACACTCAATGCTACCCTTTTCTCACATTGTCTCGCCCTCTGTTTCAGAGCAACAATCTCCTGGATGGTACCTTCGATGCTACCCTTTTCTCACAGTGTCTCGCACTCTGTTTCAGAGCTACAATCATCTGGATGGTACCCTCGATGCTACCCTTTTCTCACATTGTCTCGCCCTCTGTTTCAGAGCTACAATCATCTGGATGGTACCCTCGATGCTACCCTTTTCTCACATTGGCTCGCCCTCTGTTTCAGAGCAACAATCTCCTAGATGGTACCCTCGATGCTACCCTTTTCTCACATTGTCTCGCCCTCTGTTTCAGAGCTACAATCATCTGGATGGTACCCTCGATGCTACCCTTTTCTAACATTGTTTCGCCCTCTGTTTCAGAGCTACAATCATCTGGATGGTACCCTCGATGCTACCCTTTTCTCACATTGTCTCGCCCTCTGTTTCAGAGCTACAATCATCTGGATGGTACCCTCGATGCTACCCTTTTCTCACATTGTCTCGCACTCTGTTTTAGAGCTACAATCATCTTGATGGTACCCTCGATGCTACCCTTTTCTCACACTGTCTTGTCCTTTGTTTCAGAGCAACAATCTCCTTCATGGTACCCTCGATGCTACCCTTTTCTCACAGTAACTCGCCCTCTGTTTCAGAACTACAGTTTTCTGGATGGTACCCTCGATACTACCCTTTTCTAACATTGTCTCGCCCTCTGTTTCAGAGCTACAATCATCTGGATGGTACCCTTTTCTCACAGTGTCTCGCCCTCTGTTTCAGAGCTTCAATCATCTGGATGGTACCCTCGATGCTACCCTTTTCTCACACTGTCTTGCCCTCTGTTTCAGAGCAACAAACATCTGGATGGTACCCTCGATGCTACCCTTTTCTCACATTGTCTCCCCTTCTGTTTCAGAGCTACGATCAGCTGGATCAGGATGGTACACCCGATGCTATCAGAGCGTGGATACAGGCTGTTCTTGCGGGAGATGAGGAGGCAGGGACACTGGTAAGATTGTCTAACCCATTGTGTATTTGAGTACAAGTGCGAACTGACTGATATACGAAGAGCATGAGCCATAGTTGAACCCACAGACCAAACGTGTGGCCCATTCGTGTACAAAACGTAGTCAGGGATGCATAATGCGTAGCAAGTGCAGGGAAACAAAACCACTTTATGTAGTCATCCTCCCCGTGTTTGCAGTGGATATGGTACATCGGTATATGTATTTGTGTTTGAGAAGCGCCGTATTCGGCAGGTAATTTCTCTGGCAGAAGAATTGCAGGTGGCCCGGTTGTCAAGGGCACAGGGGATTGTAACGCAAAAAATAGCAGCTACAAGACACAAGGTCCTTTTAGATAGTATACTGACACTGGGTGTGATCATATCTTGTAGCTACTATTTTTTGCGTTACAATCCCCTGTCGCCAACGGCGTTGCAACTTGCTGGACAAGTGAAGAGAATTCGCCTGTCTGCAACATGTGCGGGTTCGTCAAACATCATTACCTCTGTAATTGTTGGTTTTCCTCCGACGCAGACGCACTGAAATGGTGATGAAAATGGCGTAAACAACAATTCAGTTTCACGTCACACGGTATTCGTTGTATGGATACAGTGCGTTTACAGCATGGCGTCTGTTCCCGTGATAATGCTTGATTGGTGGAAGTATGAGTTATCAATTTTCCATTTGATACTTCTAAATTACGCCTTTTCACACCAAAACACCAACGATGTCCTTCTTATCGTTCCACAACATAAATGGGTGCCGATTGCCCATCAGAATTGCATACGTTCGATATCAAAACTTTTTTTGTGAAGCGAAACATCGAACAATAGTTATCATTGTTAATAATTCTTAGAATACTACCTCTATTACATATCTGCCATAAATCCTGTATCTTGGCTTCAATCACACTAACTAAACTTTTCAGATTTTCAACAGACGTCCTCTTCACTTTCAATTATACACAATTAGTTGCCGCCAAGTAGTCTTGTAACTACCCACACCGTGATGTCACAATATCACTTTTTTCCCTCATCTCCTACTTGCGATAGATGAATTGGGGAGGTAGGAGAATTATAAACAATGATAACTACTGTTCGATAATTCTTACGAAACTTCTATTACATATCTGCCAGAATATACCAGAGGGACCCTGCTTGGATCTGCCTCCCTGTGTAATTGAAACCATAATGCACTGATTCTTATCTTGCTGAAATAATTTCCTCTGAAATTCCCATTGAGGATTTGAAAATCAGAAAACTATGTCAATTAGCCTTCAAATATGTGATATTTTCACAAGATATACCGTTATATTTGCTGCTTTAACCATAATAAACCTGGATAAGTGACCTACAATACAGGTGATAAAGTCACTTCCGGTTCTGACGTCCCCTCGGTATGTCACTTCCCCTTTTGGTAATGACGTCTCTTTAGGTCTATTTCTACCCCAAAGACGTTATTTCAAGGTTAGAAGGACTTTGTTCAGCTATTTCCGGTGCTGACATCACTTCCGGCTCCTCTATCACTTCCGGTAATGATGTAACTTCTGGTTAATGGTAATAGATGACATTTTAGGTGCTTCTTATCCATCCTACACCTAATCAAGGTGTAAAGGTCTGGCTGCTCGTCACGTAAGGAAAAGCTGGTTAAGGTGGGGCCCACTGACAGCCGGAAACTTCTTAGACTACTGAGACTGTAGTCAATGACGCGAAACTCGTGGCTAAGGCTCTTATTTCGTGAGCTGAGCAGGATCCGAGGTGTGGCGTAGAATTCTGAGCCTGTGTATAACTTTGTGCAGCTGTGGCCTTCATCCATTCTGCTAAAGTAGCCTTGGTGATATTCTTGTTCGAGTTGGTCTTACAGGATAAAAAAGAGTCTCCTTCAATGGCGTATATGTGGGTCAATAGCCAAGAGATAGAACTTGAGAGCTCTGATGGGACATAAAAGTCTGTCTGGTTGATCCACTGTTGGTCCTAATGCAGGGATTGTATAGTGTCTATAACCCAACGGTCCCATTGTGGTAGGTTGGTTCTTGGCTACAAGCTCTCGCTGCTGTAGCCATGGCTAGGAGAAACGATGTTTTCCTGGCTTTTTGAAGTAGGATAGCCTTTTGCCATGGGTTCCTAAGGTTCAATTAACAGTGCCGATAGTACCACAGATAGATTCCACTTCGATAGATACGAGGGGTCTTAATATCTTCTAGTAGAAAGGATTTCATTAATCTGTTGAGGATGGAATGGTTTCCGATAGATAATCCATCATGTTGAAGTACAGAATGAAGGGCTGATCTGTAACCTTCTATCGTCACGTGTCTGAATTTATTGTCTTGACGTAGATAAAGAAAGAGGTCAAGGATTGATACAGCATTATCAATAATCTCTAATCGTCTTCTGGACAAACTTGTCCCATCTGTTGTCATATATAAAAGGGAGGATGAAGATCTTGCCATGGCTTCAGAAGCAGGCTCAGAGTATCCGGATGTTTGCATCTTCCGCGTGAAAACTTCCAGGCGCTTAGATGTAGGCTGGGCAGATTTTCGTGGAATATGCTAGACTTGGGCTTTCGTAGCAGATCTCGACGAAGTGATAACTTTATGGATTCCTCCAATAGTGGCTTTAGTAGTCTGGGGAACCATGCCCTGCTGGGCCATACTGGGGCTATCTGTATTATTACACAATCCGTCTCCTCCACCTTGTGGATGACTTTGTCTAGGAGAGACCATGGTGGGAATACGTAGCTGAATAGATTCGTTCAATCCATCGAAAGAGCGTCGATCTGCTGAGCTCTTGGGTCGGGAACTGGACTGACATAAACTGGAAGTTGATTGTTCTGGCAGGTGGCGAATAGATCTATGTGTGGTATGTCCCATATCTTGGTTATCCAGGTGAAGATCTGAGGATGTAATGTCCATTCTGTTGCCACTATTCTCCCCCGACGTGAAAGACTGTCGGCCAGCATGTTCAGTTTCCTAGGTATATGGCAGTTAAAGGAGTCAGCCAAGGCAAACAATCGTGTAGTCCCCGTCATCAGGGAGTTGGATCCGGTTCCTCCCTGCTTCTGAATATAGGCCACTACTGTGGTGTTGTCCATGGCTATGAGAACTGATGATAGATGAAGCTGTGTTTTCCATTCCAGGATGGCGTAATATATGGCCTTCATTTCCCTGCAGTTGATATGAAGGTTCTTCTCCTCTGTGTTCCTAGATCCCTGTACTGTGAGATCGTCCTTATGAGCTCCCCATCCCGAATCTGATGCGTCTGTGAACAGATGATGTTCTGGCATCGGATAAGTCAGCAGGATGGCACTCATCTCATGTTCTCTGTGATTCCACCAATGGAGGTCTGGTAGCAAAGTGGGAGGTAACTGAGACTTGAATTCTAGGTCTTTCGATGGTTGACCAATGTCTGTAGAGGACGTAGCCTCAGCATTCCTCTGAAGGTCTTATCCTGTGGAGATGTCAAGTTGCCTTGCAGAGACATCCACCACCTCAGCGACTTGCTGGGTTGACTTGAGATTGATTGGATCATCTTTATAGTCTTGTCAAATCGATCCTGTGGTGAACATGGATATCCCCTGTCTAGATGGAAACAATGTATATAATGTCTTGGACCGGAGTGATCTCTGACTTGGATTGACTAGGAATCCTAGATCCTGAATGGCTCGCTTCTTTAGTAGTTTCCTAACGGCCAATTCTGCAGCTGCTAATTTGGAACCAGTCATGTGAAATCTTCGACCCATGGCGTGTATGTTCAGGCTTGGATGTTTCCTGAAATGTAGCTTGTAGCCGTGAGCCACGACGTCTAGAATCCAGTGGTCGGGCATAACTTGCTTCCAATTTTCGGTGTATGACAGAAGGCGCCCTCCCACTGTGCCCGGAGTCGGCGTTATGTTGAAAGACGGGAGGCGTAAATTGCAATCCACAGATTGAACCAGGTCGAAAGGGTCTATAATGTTGGAGGGGGTTGCAAGGAAGTCAGTATTTTCTTTCCCCTCTGCCACTTGATCTTCCATTTCTTGTAGTCTGGCTGGCGAAAAGACCCTGCGAAGATTGTGGCTTGTCGTACCTCCGCCTCCGGTGGGGACAAACTTCTTCTTAGGAGGCTGTTTGGATGCAGATGATTTATGGTCCCAGGGTCGTCAGAATGTGATGACTCATGAGCTCTCGCCGGAAGGTCCATGGTGGAAGTTTGGAATCGCTCAGCTGTATCTTGTTTCACTTCATCTATCACATATCTGGGTTTCCTGTTTAAAGTTGTGGTAGCTGATATCTGTTGCGACGTCATGAACTTCTTCATGGTCTGGCTTGACCTAATCTGGGATAGGAGTTGTTGTCGCTGTAGTCTCAGTAACTGTGAAGAAGTCCAGACTTGGGATGATTGTAAATCATCCTGCATCTTGACAATCGAGTCAAGGAGGCTTGGGATTAGTCCGACTCAATCGGTCCTAATGGTCATGGGTGTTTCCGGCGCAATTCCTTCATAGCATGGTTGTAGAGGAGGTATGAGTCTAATTCCGGTGACGAACCAATTTATATATGCCCCAATATCCATAGAGTATCTAGCAACCAATCCTAAATCCTTGAAACGTGATGCTGATGAAGTAACGTTCATGTTGTGATTGCACACTTATTTGTAGAAATCCTCACCCAAGCTTTGGAACTCCGGAAGTCTACCATTGTGAGTCTTGTATAACTTTCGTTTCATAGGTGGAAGAGGTAGACGTTCATCGTGCTTGAGTCTATGGATGTTATCCGTTGATTGGTCAACGACCTTGCCCGCGTTGCTGGACCAAGGTAATGTCTGATGATTATGCTGAGATGGATCAGGCGCATGACATCCCCCATATTCCGGCATCTGGGGTGGTGAATCCTCTGTCACATGTGGCCGAAGTGTAGGCATAAGGTGGTAAAGTGTAGCCTTCACTGTAATGTTGTTGGGGTGAGTTGTCAAGCTCCTCCAAACCCTCTGATTCCAGCTCTGAGTAGCCTGGGGAATCTCCCGTGGGGGGTGGGTAATCGTATCCCTCAGCTTCTGCCCCGTAGGGCATCCTCCGCTGACCATGATTCTGGTACAATCTGTCTCCGTGTCGTTGGTAGCCCGTGGGTAACAGTAGCCATGCCGTGGCTGTCCTCACAGCTGGCTGGCAGGTCGGCTGGACGACTGGCTGGGTAAAACTGTGGAGTCTGTGCAGCTGGCTAGGGTCCCTTTGGACAGTCAAACGGTAAGTCGTGGTCGGTAGGCCGTGGCTGGCTGGCTGGCCGATGGAGTCTGTGCGGCTGCCGTACATTTTCTTCACAAATGGCTGGCTGGACGGCTTATCAGTCAGCTGGAATGCCGTGGAAGGCAGGCCCGTTGGGCAATACAGCGTCTGGCTTGGTTGCCGTGCGGCTCCCGTACGTGGGAGAGCCGTGGGCTGACCGTGCGGGTCAGCTTGTAGATCTTGTGTAGCATGGCCCACGGCCGTGGACAAAGATCTGGTAGTCTCAGCCAGAGCTACCGTCGCGATCTCAGCGTCCATATCCGACAGCTTAGAGTCAATCATGTCTTTCATCATCCCCTGCTGTTCTCTCAGAAGTTGTTGGATGCGACTCACTGTGAGAGCAGGAGATGATGGGGTCGCTGGAGAGGGGGTAGCTGGGGTAGATACTGATTTCTCAGTGATGATCTTATTAACCTTTTTCTTCGCCGCCTCTCTCCTCTTGGCCTTAGTCGTGGCCATCGACATCTTGGAGAATATCTCTTCGGATGTGTGGATGCATTTCTCACATCTCTTCTCCAATGTGAAGGTCTTCCCTCTGCACTTCATGCAGTTTACATGAGGATCTCCCGTGATCATAAATCGACCACACTTCTTACACCTGGGGGTGGTGGGAGACTGCACGGCGACCTCACAAACCCAACACCAGCTATACTCACGTGCGTGTAGTCTCTTCCAGCAGCACTATTACTTTAAGTATATATCTATTTATATGTCTGTTATTATAGAAATCTTATGAGAATAATCTTAGATTTATGTGACCTACTACCAAGTGCTAGATTGTCACTAGTAGAAGAATTCACGACTATTATAGTAGATGTTAACTCTAGCACACACAGATAAAACTGATATGGCCGCCATTGTGACAACACGGCGTTGGTAGTTACGAGACTACTTGGCGGCAACTAATTGTGTATAATTGACAGTGAAGAGGACGTCTGTTGAAAATCTGAAAATTTTAGTTAGTGTGATTGAAGCCAAAATACAGGATTTATGGCAGATATGTAAGAGAGGTAGAAGTTTCGTAAGAATTAGTACATTCACATAGACACTGGTAGTAGCAGGAGATCCCGACCAGAGGTGTTTGTTGTCAATCATAGTTATGTCTACAGTCTTGCACTCTAAAGAGCATTTGCTCTGGGAGTCTGTACAGTGAAATCTCGTCATGTCGGACCTCTTTAATCCGGAAACACTTTTTCAGAAACAAATACACATGCACATACATGTATATACAAATGAAATAACAATAAATCAAGAATTATGTTTACTGTGTTTAATTCACTGGGAATGACACCGTTTAGATTACCAAGGTTTTACTGTATATGACTGACTGCTATGGTGTAGGAACCTTGTGTTGCTATATTTGACCTTAAACGACTCCATGTTTTTCGTGAAGGCATCGCGCCGGAATAGCGCGCGTTAATTTTGCACTTTGGGCACCAAGCTGCTGGGCGAAAACACCTGTCGTGGTTTCATAACAGATGCCATGGACAGGTGCCGTTAAGGTTTCCAGTAGTTTTACCTGAGCGTTTGTGTGATTTGTCCTTGACCGTGTGTGTGCGTGTGCTCTATCCTCCATTCCCTTCCTTTCCTTGTAGAAAAGCAGCAAGCAAAGGGACCTCCACGAGTGGCTCAAATCTGGTTCCATTCTCTGCAAGTGAGTGTTTCCATAGCAACCATGCCGTCATCAATTCCTGTAAACTGTTCGTTTGCCCTGCCCCATACATATCTGTCCGATTCCTTTGAGAGATCTACACGGGTATAAGTATATTATTCCTGAGACGACATTTAATCGTGAAACAATTAGGGGGGATAAATAATCTTTTCATTTTCAATGTTTATAAACAAATTTATTGACTGTCTATTATTGGTGTTCTGTGTGAAATTTGGACGAAGTTTGAAAGGTAATGAGTTTTCTGATTGAAGAAGAATTTAGGTTGGAAGTTGGTCAAAGTAATATAGTAAACTTTCCATTTACTGCGAGTAAACCTTAAGAAAATCATGAAGTACAGTGGTAGGAGAGAATATATTTTATTGTACAAAACACCCTTATAGGGCAGAGTACAAACTAGCATCATTTAGATTTCGCATTTGATCTCCCCTTCAATGCATTACAGTCTAAACATGTAAATTATTGACTTGTGTGAAGTTTTAAGTTCCTAGGACTGTATATTTCCAGACTAGACAGACGTCTAAAGACGGTAGGCGTAAATCGCAATCTAATCTGAAGTGTGCAGCGTCTGTCCGATTAGCTTTGTATAGATGAGACAAATCAGGCAGCCCCATATTAATTGGAAGAGATGGGTGCGCCTTTTAACATCACATCTAATTTATTGCAACCATTATTCATTCCTAGACTCATCAACCAACTCCTGGCTGGGATAGGCCAGCCCCCAGTTAGCTTCAAGAAAAAGGCACCAAATACATTCGCTGCCTTCGGCAACATCGAGAATTTCAACAATGGCTGCACGACCTATGGCATGAAGAAGGAGGCCCTGGTGCAGTCGGTGGATCTGTATGAAGGCAGGAAGGGTCCCTTTGTGAACGTCATCAACACCCTCCACAGTCTCGGCATGAAGGTAGGTTACAACATCAGACATACAGCTGTGTTCAAGCAAAGGCTAAATTATTGGCAGTTGCCACCAAAACTAAGAAATATTGGGAGCGCTTCTGGAATAATAACCTCTATTTAGGAACCAATCATAGGTCACCACAGCTCCAGCACAGTATCCAAACTTCTCCTCAATATATCCCATTTGTCATGTTCTGTGTTATTCCGATAACAATAACGCATATTAACATTAAGTTATACTTTTTGTTTTGAAAGAATTTCCCCCAAAACGTATCAATCAAATACAAGTTTGATCAGGTTCAATGGCATGACACAATAATGCAAGGCTTGGACAAATGTCAAAATATGTATTAAAAAAAGGTGTGGGAACTTGAAGTAATTGTTTTGAAATACGTTCAGCAAACATTTATTTCAAAGGAATTCTTAAACAGCATGATACTGAATCTGATTTTGAGTTTGGGCATCCTTGTCTATTGAAGGAAAAAATCAAAAGCAATATGGATAGAAATGGAATATCTTGAACATGAATAATTTGTATGCAATGGTATATTCTTGACACCATATAGATGGGGCAGTGTGACCCATTCGTCCTGAGTTGTGTCCCTTGAGCACACCAGAAACCTATGATCGTGGGGCTGACCCTCCTCTTGGGTTTCACCAAAGTGGTAAAGGTCTAAGACCTGCTGACATGCTGTTATATAACTGGAATACTGTTCAGAGTCGCACTAAACCAAACTCACTCTCACATAACAAGAGGAAAACTGTACCATTGTCATCAACTTCGACCTGTTCAAATGGGAAAAATGAGTTTTATCTGTTAAATATGAAAGAGCAAGTTAAGCTCCTGCTTATGTTTTAAAGGAACTATACCTGGGTGTACTGTAGCTGTTTGTGATTGGTTCTGTTTGCACTTATTATTCAACCAGATTGCAAATGCTGTTCTACCTTTCCACCTAAGTTCATGAGATACTTATTCATTTTCCTTTGATAATATACCATTATTTCACTGTCAGTGTTATTTTAGGAAATATCTTCCTATTGGTTTCTTGATATGACATGTTTAAATAAACAGTATTAAACAATCAGTATTGAACATTACCAGTGAACGTTGTGCATTGTATTGTTCATATATTTAATCATATGACATAATATTTTCTATTTTTCGTAAGATTCTGAATGCTTTTATGTTGTATTTTTCATAACAAGAGTGCTCTTGAAAGTTTAAACTTCAATTTTTCTAGTTCTGCTTATGTTATTTTGTTATATTGTTACAACTGACAATGTTCTTGTTGTGAGTGAATTGCCTCCCTTGCAACTAATTCCTTTCGCTTCATTCCCAAATACCCATGTCAACCTACCTGTTTCCAATGTCATCCAAACTGAAACTGCATTCATTCAAAACATGTATCCAACCCACTGCATAGATGAACCAGCACAGTCATCAAGCCTTGCAGTTCAATGTATTCTGTGCATCAGTGTCTGTGAAACCCATGAGCCATTTTGAATCAGCCATTTTTGATGTTGTGTGACAGGCTTTTGGCCACTCAAAGCCTCCACAGTTGTTATTGTAGATTGTCAGTTTACGACCTCTCTTGATGTTGTCAATAAGCTGTGAACCTGTGACAGTGTGGCTGCAGCTGTTTGAGAATACTAAACCCAACTAAACAGACAGAAATATTAAAATACATTTCGTTGAGTTTTCAGGTTATCAGGCTAGCTGTGAGAACCTGTTTCCTGACAACCCTTGCAGACAATCATAAGTTTCAAACATCTAGGTTCTTTAAAAAATATCTCAGAAAAAAATACACCAATGCTCTTAAACAGTTCCTACTTGAAAGCCATTGTAAGTTAGTATAAGGTTGTAGATAAACCCCAAGTAGAATTCTTCACCAAAAAAATACATTACAAGTCTCCTCTTTTATTAACAGAGATAAGTCCATGAAATGCCTCTTAAGATGGAGGTTGAAAATAAATTCAAGGGTGGGGGTCTGTTAATGAGATGCTGTGAACGAGGCAAACCAGTGGTCAACTGCATGAGTAAAGATCAGGACCACCACACACTGGATCCTCATAGTTGGTTGGTTGGTTTGTTGTTTAACGCAGCACTCAGCAATATTCCAGCTATATGACGGCGGTCTGTAATTAATCGAGTCTGGACCAGACAATCCAGTGATTAATATCATGAGCATCGATCCACGCAGTTGGGATCGATGACATGTATCAACCAAGTCAAAGAGCCTGACCACCCGTTAGTCGCCTTTTACGACAAGCATAGTCGCCTGGATCCTCATAGACCAGTTATACTTGCATCTGTCCTGTCCTGGAAACTCTACCCTGGTCCCCTCTACATGAAGACACCATTGGGTGCCTGTTCACAAAACCATGACAAGGCACGGGTGGCCCAGTTGTCTGTGATGCTTGAATTCTCTGTGCAGAGTTATGTCCCTTCGGTAAGCAAGAAACCTATGATCATGGGTTCGAATCCCGAATCACCATGATTATGTTTCTTGGTTTATCAGCACCATACCCATGTATAACTTTGGCCTTTTCTCCCACAAGAGATAATTCTAAAAGGGACTCTTTGAGATGGCATCGTTTGTCTTGAATGCATCTGGCAACCCTCTTAGTGTAACTGATATTGAACAGGAACATAATGGCTAAAATATATAAACAATTTGAATAACATAAAACCATGACTAAATACAGAATATGTAAACAGTTGGAGAAGGTTAAGAGCAGATTCAAATGATTCAGATGGTTTCAGAACTACAGAAAAGTTGTGGACCAATTGTGCCGAAAGCTTTGTAGCGGTAGATTTGTATCGAGGGACCTCCTGTTGTTGTCTACTACTTACCTTAAACCATACCTCCACTCTTGTGATACTTCATATATGTAAACACCAATAAATTGTTAGTTTACAATCTATTTCCAAACAATAAGTCATTTAAAAAAAATGTATACTGTATTACTTTTCTGATAAAATGTCATTTGTTTTGTTTACAAAGTGACATACTCACGGACTTGAGTACTGATATCTGATGACATGTTTTGTAAGTGAACATGGCAGTTATAGTTTCACTACTCTTTCACTTGCTTCTTGATTTCATAGCATTATGTGATTTGACCAGTGACCATTTGGAACATACAGTGTTCTTGTTCCAAGATCAATGTCATTTGTTGATATTTCCAAAAGATACATAGAATTTGGGGATACATGAAAATAAAGATGGGATTGTTCTTCATCATATTTCCAGGTGTATATAAAAGACTCATACAGAATACAGATAAAAAAATATTATTTTCAGTGAACAAATTCCATTAGTCTCCAACATACTATCATAGAATTTCATTAAAATCAAAACGTTTACTCCATCAAAAACAGATTAAAATTCTTCTGATTGTTATGAGATTGACTCTCATAATTTTCAGTGGTATATTGCATCTGAAAGATTTCAATAAACTGTTGTATCTGTACATGAATTTACTGACGATATTTGCTTTTGTAGTAACTGATGTACAACTATGTAAGGACTGAGATAAACTTGTAGATGGTTACCCCCATAACACTGGCACTGGACCACAGCACAATTAACACACATCCATGTTGTCAGGTGACAGTAACTGTATACATGGACCTGCACTGTCCTCTGCACTTACCACTTAATCTTAAAAATGTCCTTTTAACCCCCTAAAATAGTTACCATTGCCAAAAACATATGCTTCGTAATATAGTTTTAAAAAATTAAACCCCGGTTTCCATAAAACCTCTTCTGTACACATTTATACGGGTTTCCCCCAAACTGTTCTTCAATACATACAAATCAGTATCCTGTATGTATGTATGTATGTATGTATGTATGTATGTATGTCTGTCTGTCTGTCTGTCTGTCTGTCTGTACCTTAAGTTTATTCCATCCCCAGACCAACTGGTGCCCCTAAAAGTTACTGTAACATATATATCAGTAACCCTTCAACTTACTCTAACATATATATACTGCTAACTCCAAAACATACTCTAGCCTAAATATTTGTAACCCCCAAAATATCCTTCCATCCACAAACATACTGGTTTACTATTCAAATTTATACTAGCCTACCTCAATCTTTTCATCCCTATACCCAAATACCCTGAATACTTTTACCTATATTTCCAGTAGAATACCCCTAGAAAAATCTCCATTTAATAGACTTCTCCCAGACCTGAGAATCCTGCTGGTATATATGCCCCAAACACTGAGTCATAACCTCACTCTTCACCCCCTAAGAAGCAACTGGTAGAATTCCTAGACAGTGATACCAAACCCTGGCAAATATCTTACACATCATCCACTCTATACTTAATGTGACTTTTTTTTCAATTTACAGGCAAATGCCAATGGATTTGAAGTGATGTACTGTGGACAAATTGAGCGATACCTCTGCGACAATTAAAACACAAAAAGGAAAAAAAAGGAAAACTGGTCTATTTGTTTTTTATTTCTACTTTATCCATGTTCATTGGCCTTTGGCTTATTTGCTAACATAACTGACTTATATATGTTTCAGGCTATGGAAAATGGTTTCCAAGTCACCTATTTGGGTGTAAAAGCTCCTACGCTAGATAGCTAAACACCTTCAACTGCCTCCAACTGGATCTAACCAGACCTATCTGGCCTCGGCCGGCTAGATCCTGCCTGCCATGTTTTAACAGCCTCATGTCTATTCTTTCAAGTCTTTATTCTTTTCATTATATATCTCTGCAATTTATGTTTTAGTTTAACTGTTGTTGTTCTATACCTAAACTTCAGCACTCTTGATACCCTTGCATGAACAAAATTTCCAAACAACACAATATAATACTCACATCTTTCATGGAATTTCTAGTTAACTGAAGTTAAACAAAATACCCCTAATGTTTTATCCACGGCTTTCATTAATATTTTGATAAGCGTGAGTATTATTTCAAACTACCCATTTTCCAGTCTCATCTAAGAGCACATTTCCCCGGGAAATGTAGTTAGTTGCTTATAGCTGGTAGTATATCACACTGCCTGAATGCTTAACAGAAAACTATTTGTTGGACAACTTGTTATTTCTTGATTTGTACATTGTATGACGCTGCCCTCAGGGCACTGCCTCATGGGGACTGATTAAATACTCATGTCTCAGCACTCATTGAGCAGCATTTTTACAAATAAACTTGTTAAAATTCGATTTGTTGCATTGATATTATACATGTTTGTGTGTGTGTTACTTAACGCTGCACTCAACAATATTCGAGCTATATTATGGTGGTCTGTAAATAGTTGAGTCTGTACCAGACAATCCCGTGATTGACATCATGAGCATCGAACCATGCAATTGGGATACGATGACAATATCAACCAAGTCAGCAAGCCTCTTACCACAAGCATAGTCGCCTTTTATGACCCGGATTTTCACGGGGCGATATTATACATGTACCGGTATGTATATTCTACTGAAGAACATGACCAGTAGTATTCAGATCATGTGTTTAGGATTTTAAATTAAATTTCTTGCTTGTCATGACTGACAATGATGTAAATCAAAGTCAAGAATCAATTTTTCAACTCAAATTTTGTTTTTGCACCTAATCCTGACTATTTTTACACACATAATTTGATTCAGATTTGTGGGATCCTATATCCCACGCTCCGGCACAGTGATGACTTCGCATTGGACTACTGCAACATGTCAATTTGCATATCACTTGACCAGACTTTCCTCTTGTTTGTAAGCAGTTTATAGCAGTCCTACTGAGGGGAAGCCATTAAGTGCAATTAACAGATTGCTTTGCATTCTTTTTAAGATACGCTTTTCGAACTGCGTCAGTGTGGAGTAAGACAAAATATCTATACACATCAAAATGACTGTATTGCAAGCTCTTCGCTTCGATGTCTGCTTGGGGAACTGTAAATCCACTGTCAATGAAGGATAAATGGAAACAGTTTTTTACCTTTTAAGACAATTTCCGTTTGAAAGTTAACCATTTCATGACGGATGTTTATCTAAATGTGTAAACTTTTTAAAAATGAAGTAGATGAAAAACATATGAGATTTCTTGAATGGAACGAGTCAAGATGTGACGAATTGTCACATGTTCTAGGTTGACCACAAGGAACTCTGGGTAGAGAGCCAATAGATATTTTTAGTCGCAGGGTCATATGGTACTTGGATGAGAATCTGATAGCTAACTTCTTGTTACCGAAGTACACAATTTTTCACCAAGCCTGTCATTCTCTATTCAAAAACTTTCAAACAAAAAATCAGTATTAAGTACATATTTATTTACCCAGTTTGTCAACTTCCATGCAAATACTTCCACACTGAAAATTAAAGCAAAGTTCACATTTTTCACTAAGCTTGTCATTCACTATTTACAAAATTTCAAGTGGAAAATTAAGGATAAGTACATATTCAAACATTCCATTGTTTGTAAAGCTGTCAGTTTAGTTACAAAGTCTTTCAATGTCTAAAAATACCACAAAGAGTTTACTCAGTAAAATGTTTTTGGGTTGTTCCTTGCGTAATGCCGCACTCAGCATATTCCAGCTATATGATGGCTGCCTGTAATGATCGAGTCTGGACCAGACAATCCAGTGATTGACATCATGAGCATCAGTCTACGCATTTGGGATACAATGACATGCATCAACCACAGGAGTCCGTATCTAAAAATAGACGCCCTCATGCATATTCATGACCATCTCCACACGCGAGCCCGGGTCATGAATATGCATGAGGGCGTCTATTTTTAGATACGGACTCCTGTGCATCAACCAAGTCAGTAAGCCTGACCACCTGATCTCACAGGAACATGTTAATGCTCCTTGAGCTATCACCAAATTATTATAATACAGCTCAAGATAATTAAAAACATATCTTTCAGAGGATTTCAATTCTTGGGCACATATTACACACAAGAATTCATTCATGAGTTTGTTTCATATAATGAGTTTACAGTATTGCCTATTTTCAAACAGTTAAGACGTTGATATTTTGATTTTCGTGAATTAAAACTTAAATTTGTGTTCATTCTGGTAAGTGATGTCTTCAACAATAGAATTCAGCTACATTCCTATGAGAAAAGATTCCTCTATAAAAGGCGTGATATCCGTTGCCTCGTGTGTATACATCTGCTGTACTCACGGGAAACATCTGATTATTCTGGTAGATCACGTCAGGTTAATGTGGGAGGTGGAACCAGTGAGCGGGAATAAGCTGGATGCCGACAAATCATAGATCATCATTAAGGTTTTGAACCATCAATCAGTGGATCCTGACATGCCTAAGGGATGCAACTCAGCACAAAGACAACCTTCAAAAATGCATGAACTTCTCAAAGATTGTTTTGATATTGACAGGACATGCTCAGAGCATACAACCCTCAGAGTCTGATCCTTGTGAGGACTGGTCAGTGCACACATACATTCTTTGTAGAATAATACACACTGACAGTTGGATACAGCAGGTGTTTCAAAATTTATACCAGAACACTAGAAACATAGTGCCATGGCACTGTTGCTCACCTGGATATGTAGTCAATAGTAAAAAAATTGTCAACAGTTTAAGCTGTCAGCACTGATATTCAAATACTTACTGTGAAAATACTAAAACCTTACACTAAAATCTAATGAAAATATGGTGTCTTCTTAAGAAGAAACATGCCAAAGTTCAGCTCTCTTGCCCTGGCGATTTCAGAGGAGAAGTTTACAGAGGCAAATATGCATTTTGAGAGAATTAGGAACATGACCAAAGAAGATCAGAAACTGGATATTGCTAAAAAAACCACCCCAGAACATATATGAGTGAGTGAGTGAGTGAGTGAGTTGTGTTTAACACCGCTTTTAACAGTATTCCAGTTATATCACGGCGTATCAGCTTAATTTGGGAGGAAAGCCTGAAGTGATGCATGTCTTAGACGTTTACCAATTTGGTGAAACCCATGAGCACGGGTATGGTTCTGACAAACCTAGAAACATAATCAAGGCCAACCGGGATTCAAACCCATAGGTTTCTGACGTGCACGAGGATGCAACTCTGCACAGTGAATTGCGGCGTCTTAGACTGCGGCCGTGAAAGAACAGAGACATATATGTAATTGCAGAGTTATTATGTCATTCAGCTTTTCTTTGTTTTTAAAAGTTGGTTGTATTTTTCATCTTCTCAAAACCTTTAGCTGGTGATCGAATTTTTAAAAAAAAAATCCAAACATTTTAGTTTCTTCAATTAATATTTTTTGCCTGTTAAGAATGATAGGGTCATTAGGATAAGAGAACTTTTTTCAAATTCTGTATTTTCTTTTATGTCATTTTTTTCAAACATGACAGGAATGTTAATTATTTTATAGCATTTCCATGGGAACAAACCAACACAGTTTGGATAACCATTGATTTTCATATTCATAAGCATGATTATCAGTCTTGGCATTAACAAAATAAAATCTTTAAACTTTTTTGTATTCCTCCCTGATTTTTTAGTTGGCAGGATCCAAGTAACATAAAAGTGAACCACCTCATAATGAAAAGGATACACACAGGGGGATCAAGTTGAGGAAATGTGATTTGCAGTAAGGCTGCTTTGGCAGCAAGGTGAGGCATAATATTTTCAAAAGTCTGTGAGCAAACCATAAAGACACTATTGCTGTCTCCATACATACACAATCTGAGTTAGTTTAAACAATCTTTGTACACTTTCACATGAAAATCTGACAAATGACTGGCTATCAATGTTTTGCCATTTTTGATTTATCATGATGAAATTTAATATGAAGTAAAGGAGAGCTCCAAAATTTAGGATAAAAACTTTAAAAAGTTGACATTCCCCCCTCTAAAACTTAAAAATGTTCACATCCTCAAAGGGATTTTCAAAACGATTAAACCAGAAATTGTATGTATGAATCAAGTTGTGAAGAAAAAACACCATCAAGATGCCCAAAACTGTTTTTTTAATCTGGCACAATCTTCCCCATATTAATTATATTTATACACATTGCAATTTAATGCTTCACTATAATCATAACACAGAACCCTAAATGTGCCTCTTCTACATCAGAGTTACCTTGGTTACCTATCAGAGTTATCTGTCCTTGATCCCTCACTTTCCTTTTCATCCCACAACAGGTTACATGTGTGCTTTGATTTGGGGAATAATATCCTTTGACATCGGTCTTATCAAACGTTCTTCACATATTTATCCCATCCTATGAGGTTACTATGTTATATTATGTGGTGAAATGTGGACCCGTTTTGGGTTCTCTGTAATATGATTGGAGTGAAGAAGGAAATTGCAATATGTTGTCAGGATAAGAAATAGTTGTACATGTTCTAGTGTATCTTGATTTACATCCAAACCATTGGCCGAGACCTACACTACCCCCAGTGATTGTTGAGCAGTATGCATGGTGTGCAAAACAAAACGATCATTCACGCATCGCTACCGCTTTTCCTCAACGCTCAGAGAGTCAGAACGGAAGAATATTTCCCCTTCCTTGAAGTCTTGGACAATGCGTCGCAGTCTGTCTTGAGAATATTTCTGACACAAGTGAAACAAGTGGTCTGTAAGGTCGACATCGCTGTGTTTGACATTGTGAAAGGACAGTAGCATGTAATTGATCCTGGCGCGGCTGCAGTTGGAGTTGAGGTAGTTCAGGACGGAGATGAAGAGAGGAGGGGTGGGGGCATCGTGGGCGTCATCATCATCCTGGAAATAAGGGAAATGGGGGGAAAAACATTGTTCAAACTTGGGTTCTTTAACGTTCACATTTTTAAAATTTAGAGGTGTTTTCAATACAATAATGTAAACTGCTGGTAGCAGGAGTGCTTTTTCCTCTTCTATTTTGCCCTGTTATCAGCAAAATACAAATCACACTTGCAAAGCTATAACACTAGTCATAATGACATCGTCAGATCATATGTTTTCGGACATCATATATTTTCGGACGGCCTTGTTTATCGCAATTATTTGCGCTATAACAGTTGGGGTATCATCACACAGACTTTGTAAATACTCAGATGATGGCTTGTTATTAAGAGAAAGTTGTCTTTTATAAGTGGAGGAGATGTTTACAGTTGTTCATGTGATTAGAGAGAAAACTTTGAATGTTTCATAAGCATCCCAAACCCATGTATCATTCCAATGTGAGAAATGTAAATGGTGCTACTTTTCAAGTATTTCTTGGTACGCACATGTAGGAGGTATTCGGCTAAGAATTGTGGTGACGCTGTCGTTGGGTCTTGATTTTTGGCTTTGCAAAATGTTTCAAAAGATCCCCTATTCGCCAAACAGCATGGATGAGGATCTTTGGAAGATTTTTTACCACAAAAATTAGTACACCGCGCAAGCATATGTTACATAGAGAGTTGTTGATTGAAATGGAGATGAAAAATTGCCATAGAATTATACAAATATCTATCGGCAAAATTTAACGAGTTGAAAGTGTATGCAATGAAATGATACACACAAACTCTATGTAACGCCAAAGCTACCAGTATTTAATATGTATTAACACATTAATATGTAGCTTCAATTTGCAAACCATTTGACTACCACTGCAGGTAAACAATTGTAACACAAATTCAAAATGGCGGGAAACGAGCCACCTGGTGGGGAAAAAAGACAAAGTCTTTTTACACAAACATCACCCACATATTAATACACAAAATAGTGAAGGTAATATACAAAGAATACATCGCCCACTGCAGATATAATTTAGAGTAATTGCCGGAGTTAAGGGTCTAAAAAAATCCAATTTGAAGAGCTCAGTTGAGAGATGCTCTTGCTGATACGCAACAGGCAGTGATGTGATGAAGGTGACTTGTCATCAAGGTCACATGACAGCGGCGACTGTGCATGCAAAAAGCAGGAGTCGAAAACGGAAACATCATTTTTTTCACCCAAGACCATCTCTGAGTGCTGTCTTTGTTGTCGTAAGGTAAGCAGAGAATGTATTGAGGAATAATGCAGAATAAGTAAAAATTCATAGTAAAAACATGTTTGTTTGTTTGTTTTTGTTTGTCACTGCACTCAGCAATATGACGGCGGTCCGTACATAATCAAGTCTTGAGCATACAAACCAGTGGTTGAAAACAAGCAATCAGCCAGGTAACCATCCAATCCTCAAGAAAATGTGCAAACATTTTGTACCTGAGACCTATACCAACAAGGATTCCCAACGAGGAGACAAGCATTGCGTACTGTGGACCTCTTCTTCCCCAAAATCCCCATGGGGGATAATACTGGAATAATGACTACTATCAGTGATGTGTAACGGTGTAACTGCAGGTCACTGGTCAAAGCACTTACTGTTACCAAGGACACAACGACATCATGCAGGAAGTCTTTCAACACCCCATATAGTAGTCTGTACTTGTGCACTTCTGCCTCTGTTGTGTGAGATTCTGTTGGTGCAGGACTGGACACTCCCTCAATGGACATCTGTTTGTCCCCGCCATCCTCTGTGTCATCTGTGTCCTTGCTTGTGTGTCCGTTTTCACTGGACTCTTCCCCTGTAGATTTGTCTGGAGGAGGGGGGATGGTGGCTGTTTTGGAATACCTGGAAACTGTTTTCAGGGTTTCTGTGTTTTCGGGTAGGAGTGGAAACAAGGGCTCCAGGATTTTGAGAAGGATTCGAATGAGGTCCGGGGCTGGAAAAGATATCCCTGCTGATACACGTTCAAAAGACTAAAGAAGGAAACACAACATGGACCTACCATCTAAGCTGTCAGCCAACAAATCTGTTCAACTTGAGGCCTTCTGAGAGAAACACCTGAACAAACATACATGCCAGCTCTTACCATTTCAGTGAGGGTGAGATACACACAAATGGATATTCCACTGACTTATTAACCTATCACTGTATTACCCTATATTGCATTAGCTTCCTGACAACCTCTGTTTACCCTAGATGGGAAGTAAATCAGTAACCAGCTCATCTTCCTAATATATGCTTTTGAAGTGATTCTCATCCATTCCAAGGTTTTGAAGCGGTTCTCTTCCAAACCTGGGCTTTGAAATTGGTCACTTCTAAACCTGCTTTGAGGTTTTACAATTGACGCTTTATAAACTGGCCTTTTGATAAGAAAAATGTTGATTTTTGATTGGTTAAAAAGTAAAAAAAATTCCATGAAAATTTCATGAGGTGAATGGAATCTGCAACCTAACATATCATGATTTGCTTGTTAGAAATTGGCACTAGTCCTATAGTCCTTGCCAAACTGTCTAAAAGTTAAGGTATCATAAGGATTAGTAGACAGTTGTCCTTTTTAAGGGTTTTACTATATGTTATCATTATAAGGACTAGTGGATGAAAACTGGTAGTTTCTACCGCTGTTCTGGGTACCTCTTCTCACCAGCAGCCATCACTGAGTTCACTTAACCATTCGAATGTTAATGCACTAGGTAAAATGCTCCCTTCTTGTCACACCCTCCATGACACACAGTACCTGATGACAGTTTATCTACAACGTCTGGCGAGGAGCTGTACAGCACATTCAGCACGGACAGCGCTGACGCCAGGCAGTCCTCGTGACCATCCAGCCCCACGATCTCGTACTCGCACACACCAAGTAGATACTTCAACAGTGGAATCTGCAGCACATCCGCACAGAGAACTGAAATGAAGCATCACAATGAACAACATAAATGTTGTCAAAGATACCACATCCCTAAAACAATTCAGTTTATCATGGTTATGTGTTGGCTTTACAATCAGGCATTACAATTTATTTTTCTTTGCTTATGGATCCACTGACTTTAAAAATGGTAAATTAAAAAATATCAGAAGACAAGGTTTGTTTATACCGCTGTAAGTAAAGATCACTTTGATAATAAAAATAATCCAAAATATTTATATTACTAAAAACGATTCACATTACTAATCCAAATCAAACTTTAAGATGATTAATCTTTAAAAAAATTCAAATGATTAAAAATCCTGTCCAACATGTAGGCCTACAATGAATCATATTTTTTCCAACCTACCAACTAAATTTATCGCTATCAAAATCTGTAACACCTCCCACCTCCCCCCTCCAACCCAAAGTCTGCCCTCATTGAGAACAACGATTAAGTAACAATATGAATGTAATTGTAGAAATAAAACACATATGATTTTGCTTGCCTGGTTCAAAGCTTGTTAGAACAAAGGGAGATAATTTCTTGATTTATCTCCCCTTAGACTATAGACATCAATGTTTGATTACACATTAATAGAGCCTACCTAGAGCTGTCACCCTGCCTCAGACACCTCCGTACCTACCTAGAGCTGTCACCCCTCCCTCAGACACCTCCGTATCTACCTAGAGCTGTCAACCCTGCCTAAGACACCTCCGTACCTACCTAGAGCTGTCAACCCTGCCTAAGACACCTCCATACCTACATAGAGCTATCACCACTGCCTCAGACACCTCCGTACCTACCTAGAGCTGTCACCCCTGCCTCAGACACCTCCGTACCTACCTAGAGCTGTCAACCCTGCCTAAGACACCTCCGTACCTACCTAGAGCTGTCAATCCTGCCTAAGACACCTCTGTACCTACCTAGAGCTGTCACCCCTCCATCAGACACCTCCGTATCTACCTAGAGCTGTCACCCTGCCTCAGACACCTCCGTACCTACCTAGATCTGTCGACCCTGCCTCAGACACCTCCGTACCTACCTAGATCTGTCGACCCTGCCTCAGACACCTCTGTACCTACCTAGAGCTGTCACCCCTGCCTCAGACACCTCCGTATCTACCTAGAGCTGTCACCCCTGCCTCAGACACCTCTGTACCTACCTAGAGCTGTCACCCCTGCCTCAGACACCTCCGTATCTACCTAGAGCTGTCAACCCTGCCTCAGACACCTCCGTACCTACCTAGAGCTGTCACCCCTGCCTCAGACGACTCGGTATCTACCAAGTGCTGTCACCCCTGCCTAAGACACCTCTGTACCTACCTAGAGCTGTCAACCCTGCCTAAGACACCTCTGTACCTACCTAGAGCTGTCACCCCTGCCTCAGACGCCTCGGTATCTACCTAGAGCTGTCACCCCTGCCTCAGACACCTCTGTACCTACCTAGAGCTGTCACCCCTGCCTGAGACACCTCCGTATCTACCTAGAGCTGTCACCCCTCCCTCAGACACCTCCGTACCTACCTAGAGCTGTCAACCCTGCCTAAGACACCTCTGTACCTACCTAGAGCTGTCACCCCTGCCTCAGACACCTCCATACCTACCTAGAGCTGTCACCCCTGCCTCAGACACCTCTGTACCTACCTAGAGCTGTCACCCCTGCCTAAGACACCTCCGTACCTACCTAGAGCTGTTAACCCTGCCTAATACACCTCTATACCTACCTAGAGCTGTCACACCTGCCTCAGACGTAGATAGCAACTGGAAGATGTGCATGAACGTCTCCAGTGTCTCACTGTGACTGTACCTGTCAGTGATGAGAAATAGTTACAACATGGTGGTAGAGTGGCTGAGTGAGTGGTTGAGTAAGTGGTTGTGTGACAGAGTGGTTGAGTGGTTGAGTGAGTGGTTGAGTGAGTGGTTGAGTGAGTGGTTGAGTGAGTGAGTGGTTGAGTGGTTGAGTGAGTGGGTGAGTGGGTGGGTGGATTAGTGGTTGAGTGTGCAGTTGAGTGAGTGAGTGAGTGAGTGAGTGAGTGAGTGAGTGAGTGAGTGAGTGAGTGAGTGAGTGAGTGAGAGTGGATGAGTGTGCAGTTGGGTGAGTGTGTGGTTGAGTGGTTGAATGAGTGAGTGAGTTGGTGGGTTGATTAGTTGTTGAGTGTGCAGTTGAGTGAGTGAGTGAGTGAGTGGATTAGTGGATGAGTGTGCAGTTGAGTGAGTGAGTGAGTGGGTGGGTGAGTGGGTGGGTGGATTAGTGGTTGAGTGTGCAATTGAGTGAGTGAGTGAGTGGGTGGATGAGGGGTTGAGTGAGTGAGTGAGTGAGTGAGTGAGTGGATGGATGAGTGGTTGAGTGAGTGAGTGGGTTGGCAAGTGTGTGAGTTTATGGATAGGTGGGTGGGGTTTTAGGTGGGTAGGTGGGAAGCCAAGTGAGTGAGTGACTGGGTGACTGTTTGGCTTGTAGGGTGTGGGTGAGTGGTGAGTGGTTGAGTGTTTGGATGGTTGGGTGAGCGCCAGTCAACAAGATTCCACCCTTATTGACTCAACACATAAATCATCAATCCTGGGCCAGGTAAACCAGTAGTTTATAGTATGAGCATTGATCCTTGGCTTTTCTGAGAATAATATTGACATGATTAAGTTGGTTCTTACAACAAGCATGGGATCACGGGGACTTTATCTGTCCCAGTACACCAGTGTGGTGGAAATAATACTGTACCATGCATAATAACACTATGAAGTATATCACTCATTGTTCAGATAACACAAAGTATTCTAATCTGTAATTCCCACTGGGTTTCCAAGTACACAGGGCTAGGATACCTCATCCCACAGGAGGCCTCTGGTAACCTGGATGATCCCAGTACACTCACCCTATCTGTTTGACAGCCTCGAGGAGTGACTCCACCAGGTCCTGAGTTGCCCAGTCTCCACACAGCTCTTCATCCTGATCCAGGAGGGCATCCACACACTCGCCTGTGTTCTTCAGCAGGTCGGCTGCCAAACAACATCAGCCAGTCACATATACATTGTCATAAACTGCAGTCACAGGGCAGAACACAATCACAATACGAACATGCTAGCACATAATTCCAGAAACAATTTGCAGTTGTTGGCCATAATTAGTCAATTAATTGCTATTTTTGATACAAGTAATCAAATTATTCAGTTTTATGTTTTTTCCTATGTAAATGTTATAACCACGCTTCAAAGAGGGGGTTTGGGGGTTTGCCTTTACCACATTTAAAATGAGTCAGTGAGTATGGTTTTACACCGCTTTTAGCAATATTCGAGCAACATCATGGTGGAGGACACCAGAAATGGGATTCACACATTTCACCCATGTCGGGAATCGAACCTGGGTCTTCAGTGTGACGAACGAACGCTTTAACCACTAGGTTACCCGACCGCCCTCATTTAAAAATGAACCAAAACCTACTCTCTTTGCAAACATGTGTCTTCAGAAGATGACAAACACCACAGATTCGAAAGAACAGATCATGTGACTGCTACTTTAAGTTGATGAGAGAATTTCTATCTAATCTGTCTGTCTATATGAAAGGGTAGTTATTGAGCTATCAAAACAATACCATGGAATCTAAATAATAATATTCCTAAGTAGCAAAAAGCACCACTTCAGCACTTGATTAATACATTTACCAAGTTTGGATGAAATATGTTGAATAGTGTTTTAGTTCTGCTCTGTAAACAACACCTACCTCCATTTCAGCTAAGTCTGACTTGTTTTGATGAAAACAAGGGAAAATCAAATTTAAAAAAATTCCTTAATAGCAAAAGGCACCAGTTCAGCCATTGGTTAATAAATGTACCAGGTTTGCATGAAAAGTCTTTCACAGTTTTTGACACCTACCCACCTCCGCCCTCTCAACAATAACTGAAAGGCTATGAAGAGAGGTTTCTTAGAATTCATAAGTACATTGTAATCCAGTCTTTTGTTTCTGTTTGATTTCAAGTAAACTAAAACCTAAGACACATCTTTTTTTCATTAGGAAAATGCAAACATGGTATCTCAGTCATTTGATGACATATTTAACTCAGTCATTGAGAAGAAGAAACAGTTATTTGCCCTTGCCGTAAAAAATGAGCACAAAACCCTCAGACTAGAAACACATTGTTTTGTCATGACTCATGAACAGCGTCGTGTAGAAACCAAAAGGTAATCTAACAAGTCCACAACTAGATTCAGGAGACATATTATCAATAAAACTAAGGCCATGACAAACTGATTATTTGTTTACTTAAATCACTGCCTCCTCTTATCTGATTTATACAAGATTAATATATTGAAGATTGCTAAACAAAAACTATCTAAATCCTTCAATCTCAATCATGTTGTCATTGTCAACATCTTTTGCTTCTTGGTTATTTGTTGTGATACGCTGCAGTCATTGATTCAAACAAAAGGCAGGCATACTGAGAAAAAATATATTCATTATTAACAAATTAATCGTTTTGTAAGGATTTTGCGTTCATACATTCAAGGGTGTTCTACCTCTATATTAAATGCACTATGCACTAGGTGAGGTGAAACAGGCTTTAACGTCACATTTAAGATAATTTTACCTACAAGATTATAGTGACAGTTTTCTAGTGCGAGCCCAACGTAGTTTAAAATGGATACCCCACTCAGACACAGTATACTGACTCAGAGCCGACAGGTCTTGTTTAATCCCCTTACTGCCAAGCACCAGACAGGGTAACAAGTTCAAAATGTTAATGTCTTTTGGTATGTTGGTTGGTTGTTTTGATGTTTAACGTTGCACTCAGCAATATTCCAGCTATATGACGGCGGTCTGTAAATAAATGAGTTTGGACCAGACAATCCAGTGATTGATATCATGAGCATTGATCCATGCAGTTGGGATTGATGACATGCATCAACCAAGTCAGCGAGCCTGACCACCTGATCCCGTTAGTCGCCTCTTACAACTGGCATAGCCACCTTTTACGGCAAGCATGGATTGCTGAAAACCTATTCTACCCCGAATCTTCACGGGTCTCTTTTGGTATGATGTGGCTGTGGATCAAACCACTGACCTTCGCTTACTGAGCAGATGTTCTATCCACTAGACCACAGAGGCGGCATTAACGTCAAACTTTGTCAAATACGCAAATCTATGACATGTTGAGTTAAGATTTAACATGACCTTAATTAGGCTTTTTCTAATTCTTATTTGGGAAGTTTTACCAACTTCTGGAGCAGATGTAGGCAAAGGATAAGTCTCTGTAAATGCCACGATAAATCTCAGGCAACATTCCAGCTTTTTCATTTCAGCCCGAGAATAATCAAATCTGTACCAAACAAACCAGTGGTTCATATTATCAGCAATGTCCCACATTGTTGGGATGCACTGACATGGAACCATGTGACGATCCTGACCCCCCAATCCATTTAGTCACACAATATGACAAGCAATAAAGTGCTAGGGACCTAATCTATCCTGGAAACCCAGAAACCATTCTTGTTATTTCAAAATACTGAAAATGTATATGAAGAACCAATACTCAAATTAAAGAACAAATAATTGATTTGAAGTGGCCTGACTAACCAACACAATGTACATGATTTGTATATTAGGCCTGACTGGTTTGATATTTGAGTTAATGGTATTGAAACAGTTTGTATGTGTGTGTTTGTTGTTGAATGCTACACTCATGGTGGCGGCCTGTAAATAATCAAATCGAGACCTGACAGACCAGTGATCGACATTGAGAGCAACAATCCAAGCAGTCTGGGGATAAGGACACGCTATCAACCAAGTCACTGAGTCTGACCACCTGATCCATTAATTTGCCTCTTACGACCAGCAAAGGTTTCTGGGGACCAATTCTAACCCAGTATCCCTCAGGGTGAAACCGATTTTTGAGGAGTCTGGGTATTGGTTCACTATGACAACATGACCACTTGAACCTAAGTGGATCGTCCTGGTCTCACAACAATCTATTCCGGACATCATTTTCCTGCTGGCCAAGTTGAACTGCTTGACCTGAACTGACCTCCAATAAATCCTGTTATCCACTCAAACAGGCAGGGAACCACAGGTCACCTAGAAACTTGTGCAAGTCAGTCGTACTAAGTCCCTTTTGACATAACTTGCCCTAACACTGATAACCGAATAACACAAGGCCTGTCAACACGTGAACATTTAATCGTGATCACTAGATCGTGCACAGGTAGCACAGTGTGATTGGATGGTTTGTAGGTGGACTTGGAGGGGTAAGGCTGTTCTGTAACTGGTGCTTCTGAACTTAAGTCCCCATTAAGTGTCAGTAACATAAGTCCCCATTAAGTGTCAGTAATTAAAATCCCCATTAAGTGTCAGTAATTTAAGGCCCCATTAAGTGTCAGTAATTTAAGTCCCCATTAAGTGTCCATAATTTAAGTTCCCATTACCTGTCAGTAATATAAGTCCCCATTAAATGTCAGTAATTTAAGTCCCTGTTAAGTGTCAGTAATTTAAGTCCCCATTAAGTGTTAGTAATATAAGTTCTCATTACGTGTCCGTAATATAAGTCCCTATTCTGGGTCAGTAACATAAGTCCCTTTTAAGTGTCAGTAACTTAAGTCCCCCTTAAGAAAAACAGGAATTTTGTTACCATTAATTTTAAAGGAAGTATGAAAACACTGTCAAAAAGAATTACCCAAGCCAAAACCATGAACAAGAAAATGGACATTAAAAAAAGCAATCTTCTCTCAGAAAAATCCACTAATCGAAATCAAACTTTGCACTGCACCTCTCCTATTGGCATAGAAACTGTACCCCCAATTGGAAAAGAATCCATGAAGTAGATTTTTAAGCTATAGTTCGCACAAATGTTGAAGTAAAAAACAATATTTTCAGACAATGCACCTACAAAATCAAACTTTGCACTGCACCTTTTTTTTCTCTATAAGTAACGAAACGTTCCCCAAATTTGAAAAAGAATCCATGGGTAGATTTCTGGTTATAGTTCACACAAATATTTAGGTAAAAACATTCTAAGTAGAAAAAAATAAAGATGTATTTTTTCAGAAAATCTAAATATTAAAATCAAACTTTGCACCGCACCTCTCCCATAGGAAGAAAAAAATGTTCATCAAATTTGAAAAGAATTTATGATGTAGATATCAAGTTAAAGGTCATGCAAAAAAATGTCCTTGGAAGGACAGTCTGTATTTGTGAACACAATGGGTGGTGAATCGAACATCACATGGCCTTTGTGTTATCAGCTGGGTTCCCATGGACTAGGTATGTGACGACATATGGATGCACCAGTTACTGATGCACTTTGTCTTATTCGATATGTAGCAATTGGACTTTGCTCAATCATTTGTACATAAAGTTTTGAAAACAAAGTGCAATTCTGTACAAGAAGGTGAAATAAAAAACGAACTACAAAAAGAGAATACAATATTAACAAAACAAAATAGCAACACAAAGTATGAATCTGGTAAAATCATTAATAAATAGAGATGTTTAGCCGAGTGTGCATCATAAATATCAAATATTAGGAATAATATATTATTGTTTATTCCTAATATGTAATATTGACAATACGGAAACACATGAGGGTGATAATCTCTTTATCATGTTATGTCATTCTTAAAATAATGGATGTTTAAGACATAACTTCACTCAATGAAGTTGATTTATAATTACAATTTTTAGGAATCCTCCCAATTTATCAGTTAGTGTCAAATGTCTGGCAGCCATTTTTGTTGCCATGTTTTAGCGACATGTTGGAAACCCTATCTAAGCATATTAAAACTGTCAGTCAATAGTGATTGAGGAAGAAGACATCACATTGATATATGGAGCTTGAAAGGAGTTCCTACAAGGCGACCTCATTTGCATATTTATCAGATCCTCAGACCAAGTTTATCGGATAGGTTTATTGCAACGACAACACAAGCCTTTAAAGGACAAAACAGTCTCCTCTGTTGTTCTACCAGGGCAAAACTGTTTCTGTTATGAGGTACATGTGCAATATCATTTTACAATACAATTTTGCAATGGAATTTTACACTACCAATTTGCAATAAAATCTTGAACAAAAAACATTCAATTAATTAATAATGTACTGTAAAATCAATATGATTTGGTTTTGAATTTTTATTTGGTTACATGTTTGACAGCAACTTATTCTACTTTCAGGGTATTTTCATGGACATTGTGGTTGTCTCAATAACAATGTCTGGTAACATGACTTGGGAAACATAGAAGGGGTAAAACAACAGACCTTGAAGTTTGTTTGTTTGTTGTTTACAATGCACTCAGCAATATTCCAGCTATATGAAGGCGGCCTGACCACCCGATCCAGTTAGTCGCCTTGTACAGCAAGCATGGATTGCTGAAGACCTATTCTACCCCGGATCTTCACAGGTCAAACATTGATGTCTATTTATTGGGTCACTTGTCATTTCTCAACTTATGCGATTAACAGTAATTATTGTTTTACACAAAGCAATAATTCATCATCATTTCACAGGCAACCTTTAAGCTAAAACTTAGACCAATCATACTCTTACGACAGTGTTGTTGTACCATTTTGGTCTAGTCAGAAATAATTATCAGGATCCTCTAACAGACCACGCAAAAAACAAAATGGTATTTTGCCACAAACATACTCAAGCATATTCAAAACAACCATGAACAAAGAGAAGTAAATATTGACCATAACATACATTTGACCTCTCAGTGATACCTGCCAGGTATGTCACCCCAACTTTCTTTAATCAAGATCTAAAAACATTCAAGGATTGTTATGAATGTTACTCCCTTGACCCCAGCTTGACCCCTGCCTCTCCAGGTGAGTGGAGAAAACAGTCAGTGTGGTTGTAGGGCTGGCTACCTTGTTTCTCAATACAAGTCTGGAATGTGCTGGTGTGATAACCCTGCCTAAGCCATATTAGATTCAGCTTCAAGCCTACACTGGTGTATAAACACACTTTGTGTCTGTCAGCTGTTGTCATGTTACAAAATCTAAGTGCCTGTGAACCACATTCAGTCATGCAGTATTAGGGGTAGGTAATCCTTTACTCTGTGATTGGGTAACTGGGGCCTTCAGCCACATGTGACATAGTGGTGTAATGTCAAGTTGCTTCCACAAGAGTGATTGCAGCAGAAAACAAACACTGGGACACCTATTTATTCAGAAACAAGCAGTGATCAATAATAATTTCCTGTCTGATGTTCACTATAATTATGATTTGCGACCTGTTCCATACATCATAGGTCTTCAGCAATCCATGTTTGCCGTAAAAGACGACTATGCTTGTTGTAAGAGGCGACTAATGGAATCGGGTGATCAGGCTCGCTGACTTGGTTGATGCATGTCATAATATCCCAAATGCGTGGATCAATGCTCATGATGTCATGCACTGGATTGTCTGGTCCAAACTCGATTATTTACAGACTGACGTTATATAGCTGGAATATTGCTGAGTGCAACGTTAAATAACAAACAAACAAAAATCAGGACCACATGTCAATAATACTGGTGCCAAGGAAATCGCTCCTTACCTTGTGAGCACTAAATTTAAATTTGTGAGTCTTTTAGCCAATGGGATCCTTCAGACATCCCTATTCCTAACCATGATGTCAAGGGATGAAACAAAGTTGCCTTTTTTATTTTATTTTGTGAAAATATGTGCAAGGAGAAAGGGTCCGTAATTGGAGGTTAAAATTTGGACACTCTCTCAAGATTTCTTTGTAATAAAATTGTAAGACTTAAAAAAAAAAACAGTTTGTGATTTACATGAATATTTCTCAGATTTTTTTACTTGACTTTTGTCTAAAAAAGTTAGGCATGTATATAAAAAAAAATATTCTGTAGTAACAAAAGTAAAACAACTCAATTTTTCAAGAACATTTTATTATTTCCCTGGCACACAGCTTGTGTACAATTGGCAATACGACAATATTCATGTCATAGTGAAATGCATTTTGGCAGCATGGGCGACAATTAAACTGATCACCACTGCGCTTTGTGTTGATACGCTTTGATGGTATTAGACAATGATCCCAGCAAAAAATATCAGAGTGACTTCCCTTTGCAACAAGGAAACGATATCTCTTTATGTTTAAACTTTTTATTCATTTTTTTAAAGAAAAGATTGGCGCTAATAAAAAAGGAGCAATTTGGATTTTTATGTTGGACTTTGAAAGAGCGGCGCATCTGTAAACCAAGAAATAAAAAAATATTGCCTTATCAGTATGTCAAAAGTATCATTACCAAACTAGATTGTGTTTTCTTGAAGGTGGTGAGGTAAAATGGGGTTTAATGCCACGTCCAGGATTATTGCATTGATATAGTGACAGGCATGCTTGTGTGTGCACGTGTCTGTGGCTTTTTGTACTAGTATGAACTAAACCCGCTTTTAGAGTATATATTTTACTCTTGTAAATATTTCTTTACCAACCTAGCATCTTGTTTATCTGTTAAAATGTTGGGGTTTTTTCATCATAAACTAACATTCACTTGTGTAATGTAGCACAAATATAATCAAAGATCTTATCACAAAGGGCAATTTCTTTTCTTGTTTTTACTGTTATGGCCACTCCAAAGTTTGCAAAAGAGAAAAAAGGCAGAAGTGCTCATCTTATTATTTCTAAAAGGAATAATCCTCAAATTAACTCTGATTTTATTTTGAATATTTTTCTCCCCTCAGCATATTGACCCAGAAAACCTGTAACATAACTGTTCAGCATCTATGACCGATAAACTGGTGTGTCCTAACCATTCATTGTAAAGCAATCTCAGTGTCAAGCACATTTCCAAGCTGGCCAGATGAAAGCAACTAATGGCCAGTACTGTATTTGTACAACAGATCTACTTGGTCACACAGGTATGCCTGGTCTGGGGTCAGTCTGTCGGCTGGAGCAAGGGGTCAAGTGGTCGGGGGTCAACTGCCCCAGCCAGGAACACTTGTCTGGTAACACCTGTCTAAGCATTAATGTTGCATTCTGAGATATTCTGATACTTGAAGCCCAATAATTAGACGAATCACCATTACCCACGATGCCATCGTGAGTGAATCGTGAGTTTGTGAGATCGCCATAAATAGAAATAAACGGGAACTGATGAAGTTACCTCCAGTAACATAGGAAGTAGAATGGTGGAACACAAGGACATGTCTTCTACATTGGCAAATTTGGGATTTGAAAAGTCCTCAACTAGAAACAAGAGTCATCAGAAAATGATAAATCCCCCCAGCTCCCAAAAATTTGAAAGAACAAACCATCTGACTACCTAATCTAGCTGTCCATATACAAGAGTAGTTATTGAGCTATCAAAACACTATCAAGGAATTGCGGAAATTTGTATTTCTATGTCAGGTATACACCGATATGAACAGAGTCAAAGTCAAACTTGTTGCCATGGAAACAGAAAAAATATAAATTCTAAAAATCCCAAAATAGCAAAAGGCACCAGTTGACAATATGGTCTTTGTGTGCACAGTTCCAAGAAAGAGTATCTATTAGTTTTAGAGATGTGGTCCGGACAAACACAGCACTATGAACAGAATCAAAGTCAAACTTGTTGCCATGTAAACAGGGAAAAACGGGAAAATGAAATTTTGAAAAATTCCTATAATAGCAAAAGGCACCATTTCAGCCCCTGGTTAATACATGTACCAAGTTTGGATGAAAAATCTTTTGGGAGTCAGTATCATGATGTGTATCGTATCTTGAGATCCAAGGCAATACTCAGGTCTGCTGTATGTATATTCTATTGAAGCAGGCCTGGACAGCTGTTTCTGAGAAAACTGCACAGTGACAACCTGTTAATCCAGATGGCAGCATTCCTTATGAAATAATCTGGATTAACCGATTTCCAGATTAAAGGATCATTGGTACAGAGTGATGCCCCTTTATATACATGTAGGAATCCCAAACAAGAACATCCAGAAGGCAGGTTTCCAGATTAACGATGGGCAGGTATAACAAGGGTCCACTTCATACCAACTGCTGACCATTATGATAGTATTTGGACACACTCTGAGTCACAGCTGCACAGAGTCTAGGTCTGACATACTCATGGTTGATACAACTGGGCACTGAGTCATCCCACAGAGGACATATTTACCTTGTCAGCTTGCTGACACGGTAAACCTCTTTAGCCATGTGGACAAGGTGTCCGACCTCAGATCAGATCGCTACTTTGGTCCCTACGTGGGGCTGACCACGGGAGCAAAATAGTCTCAGCACCCTACTATGCGGCACGGGAGGGAGTATGTAGCAATGCATGAAGTCATCCCACAGATGACATTCTTACCATGTCAGCTTGCTGACATGGTTAACCTCTTTGGTTATGCGAAAAAGGTGTCTGACTTCATCAGAAGGTCTGTGGTTTGAATCCCATCACGGGACAACAGCCAGATCTGTGTTTCAAGCAGTCGAGAGAATATAACACACAATCAGCCAAGTTCCATAGCCTGACTACCCGTTCCCTTCCAAGTTTGTTCTGAGACAAGCATGATGTACTGGGAAACTATTGTGACACAAAATCCCCACAGGGGATGTTCAGGGTGACCCGTGAAGATCCGCGTTAGAATAGGCCTTCAGCAACCCATGCTTGCCGTAAGAGGCGACATTGCTTGTCATAAGAGGCGACTAACAGGATCAGGTGGTCAGACTTGCTGACTTGGTTGATGCATGTCATCGTATCCCAATTGTGTAGATCAATGCTCATGATGTCAATCACTGGATTGTCTGGTTCAGACTCGATTATTTACAGACCGCCGTCATATAGCTGGAATATTGCAGAGTGCAGTGTGAAACAACAAACAAACAAACAAACGTTCAGAGTGAGTGAGGTGGTGAGTTTAACGTAAACCATTGTATCAACATTATCAGTCACAAAATATTTGAAATCAAACCAAACCTTATCAGTCCCACTGAAGCATTGTACACTAAATTAGGAGTGTCTGATCCACTAATTAAAACAGTATTATGATGGCCTGTGAAGACTGGTAGTTGGGCTGAATACTGTAGATTTATATCTTTACTAGCGGTAAGCTACAGCTGGGGTTGCCTCCCTTGCACAGCACATGGCCAACCACCGGAAGCCGCGCTCTTATATATAGAAACACATGAACCCAAGTAAAGAAGGTTTTCAAAGAAGTTCACTCTTCTTGTTTATTCACTTATAAAGTTGACACAGCAACTTACAAATACCATTTTGAAAAATGACATGACATGGATGCATCCATTTCTTATCGCATTTAATTTCTGGTGACTTTTTTATATGGCAAGTGGTTTCATAGTAGATAATGACATTATCTAGATCAGAACTTCAAATTTCTAAGGCATCACAAGGCTCGTTCATATGTGTTTCTGAACATTGCCGGCAGACAAGCAATTGAGAAAGAAAAAACATTTGTTTACGGTGAAGGTGAATCTAAAGAATCATATAAATGCCTGAAAAGAAAATTTGGGGAATTTTGTTTGCCACAGACAAACACGACAATCGAAAGATTCAAGTTCAACACACGCTCACAAGTGAAAGGTGAAAGTTTTCAAACATTTTACACAGACTTACGCACCAAAGCAAATACGTGTAATTATCGAGTTCTAAAAGATGAAATGCTGAGAGACAGAATCGTATGTGGAATAGCATCAGATCATTTGAGAAAACTGTTATTAAAGGAGACAGACCTGACATTTACTAAAGCTGTGACCTTATGTAATGTCAATGAACTATCAGAAAAAGGGGTTCAAGAAATTACACAGAAACTAACAGAAGTTGACTTTGTAAGTCAAAAGAAACCAAGTTTTAAATCACACCCGATTCAAGGAAATACTAATATGAGAGACTGCAGATGCTGTGGGTGGAAACACTCACAAGGACGGTGCCAGGCCTTTGGGAAAAGGTGTCACAGATGCCACAATTTCAACCACTTCCAGTCAGTTTGTCAGTCCAGTCCCTCTGGCCAGGAGACATACAGTCACAGTGCCAGTGGAAATTTGAAATGGAAATCAAGTCCAAGAGGCAGGGGTAGATTTCGTGCAAGAACTAGGC